GTGCTCTGCCAGCTGGGGCAGGTAGGGGGAAATGGAGGTGAGCCACCAACAGAGGCCAAGCTGTCAGGTCTCACTTTGTATTTACTGAAGATGCCCCCACCCGCCCCCCCCCAGAAGACACCCCCCATTCCTAGAAGGCAAAACTTGTTACCAAATGTTTCCTTGGCCGCTTTTGCCTGGAGGCAACAGGAACTTAATGGATTTGTGGCCTATTATCTGGTTTTAAAAATCTAATCAGATCTCATTAGAAGATATTTAGGGTCTCTGCTGATTCTGGGAAATCTCTACTTTTGTTTTGCAAGTAAGCCAGTAAGCTGTTTTCAAGGATCACTTTCCTTGGCAGGTTCCTCCTTAAAGAGAAAGGGGTCCTGGTGGCTTTCGCTTTAAATGGACTGTACGATAGGTAAGAGTACGTGTGGGGTAGGATGTGTGGCTCAGGCACCGCATTCAGCCCTCAGACACTCGTGTCTTTGAACCTGGCTTTGATAATGGTTCACACGTCTTAAATCTTTCTGTGCCTCGGTATCCCCACCGAGGGAATGCTTTTGAAAGAAAAGAATATAGTCTCTCATCTATTGAGTCTAGGCTAATGGTCCCCTTCAAAGAATCAAGCCTGTGTGGTGACCTTCCAGAATGTTCTCCGACCACAAGACAGTGTCTTCCATCCCAGCCTCTTGTGACCAGGAGCATGTATGTATTAACACTGCTGCCTGGCCTTGAGGAGGGAAAATTGACATTTGAAATAGGCTTCACATGACCATGCAAAGCAACACCCCAGACGTTCCCATTCCCAGCAAGGCCTGTTTTAACGGTACTTTGGTGCAACGTGCTGTAAGCGGGCCACATGTCAGCATTGTCATTGTTAGTCCCAAAGGCATCTGTGTGCAGAAGCCCCCATAAAACGTAGAAAGAGGCTGACCTGCCTCTCTGTCTCCTCGGTCACCTTAAGTTCTAACATCTGAGGCGTCCCCCAACCCATCCTGTGTTTCCATTGTTTCCGAGATCTCGGCAGGGGAGCAGCTTTGAGAACCAATGTCTAAGAGTAAGGCGGGAGGCACCTGACCCCGCGGCTGGGACTCCACTCGCACTACCTGTTGGGGAGGGGGGTGGGGGGTGGTTCCCGGCTTTCCTTGTGAACGATGTTGGCTTCAGGCAGGAGTTGGGAGTCGAGACCCCACAGGGGAGTCTTGTCTGGAGGGCGCGGGCTGCCCAACCTAGTCCTGGGGAAGACCCCCCCCCCCGCAAGGTGGGCACCACTCACCAGGCCAGGCCCTCAGGCAGCCTCTGAGGAGACTCCAAACACAGACTTCCGATCCGGAAAAGCGGCCTCCAGTGGCTGTGGAAGCAGGAACACGGCGAGGGCCTGCAGACCTTTCCAGCTCGTCCCGCGCCCGGTGGCTGGGCGTCCCCAGCCTGACTTCCTCGGCACCAAGAGGAAGCGCGGAGTGAGCCAAGCAGAAGACGTTAAATGCATGATGTAGACGTGCTGCTTTCCCACTAATTTTGTCGTATTCAGCATGAGTGATTTGTTTAACGTTGGCAAAGGAATTTAAAAAGTAACAAGCTCTGTGTCCTTGTTTTGGCTGTCCACAGTTCTTGCATTTCCCTGCCTTCCTTTACCCCCCCCCCCCATCGCATCCACTTTCTGTCACAGTTGTCTCTATACGGTGGCAGCTCTCGGTCCCGTTGGTGTTCGTGTTCCACTGGAAACACGGCGGGGGGGGGGGGGGGAAGCAACTTTTTTCTAATTTTTGTATCGGTATCCACGAGCGTTTGTATTTTTTGAATTGCAAACACTGTGTTTTCTGGTCTTTGGGGGGTTGGTTAACTTTGTGTATTGCCTTCTGGAAAACCTGAGTTTTATCACAGTCTTGAGCAGATTTGAAATAAATTCTTTGGACACTGCCAACAACCGAAAGGCAGGGCCCGGTCTGGATCACTGCCCAGAAGCACAGCGCGCCTCTTGCCACGTGGGCCCTGGGTGGCGGCGGGCGGCTGGGACAGGGGAGGCGGAAGGGAGGCCACCCCGTCTCTCCCCCGCAGGGCCTGCGCCTGTGAGACGCCATAGGGCTGTGCTGCGTGTGCCCACGAGATCTTGAAGCGGTTCCATGGCTCTGAGTAAGGTGCATCTCAGAAGACAAGGGGGGCTTTATGAATTCATTCTCGCAAGAGGGGACAGGGCTAGACATTGGTAACAGCACATGATTAAGGTACATTGGTGAATAAAACATTGATCAGGGGTTACAAGAAACTGAGATTTGGGGGAGACCTCCTAATAACCTATGAGCATCAGGGAGACCGACCGGCCCCTTCAACCACACCGTCTGAGCCCAGGGGTGTCCGACCTGAAACCTCTTAGCCTTCCTCAAACTGTGGTCCTCACCAACACCCATCTCACACACCTCCCCCAGCAGCCCCTTCGGCCCGGCCTCACTGCCCGGTTGGCTGCTGGATCCCTGAATGGCTTACCTGGGGAGGGGCGGTTGCAGACTCCAAGATGAGGCAGCAGGGCATTTATGAGCAAGGGCTCTGTGGATCAACCCCCTTGGGAGCGAAGGAAGCAGGGCCGGCCAAGGGAGACATCGGGTTGGGACGCAGACCCAGCAAAGACCTCTGCCGCTCTGGGTTGGGAGAGGGGCACTGGGTTCAATACTCCCGTCTCGATCCAGCACGGACGTGGGCCACCCCGGGAAGGAGGTGAGGTGATCCCTGAAGAGGGCCAACGGCTGAAGGTTGTGCCTTCAGTGCTCAGAACAAGAAGTTCTTCTACCTGAAAGAGGATCTGAGGGAGACATCCGGGCATCGACCCCCCCTGCGCCACAGGTCTATACGGCTCCTTCAGAATTCCAGTGAGGGAAGCTTAGCCGAGGAAGGCCAGGGACGCTGGAGCTGGTCTTGGAGCTGCAAGGGACACTCGTGGTCAGCCTCCTCTCCTATTCATTCTAGGCTCCCTTCACTCTCACCTAGTGCCTCTGCTAATCGTGGTTGGGACCCTCATCCCTGGGGGTCTGAGCCTCAGGTCACCAGGCCCTTCGCACCCAGGGTTGCTGCATTTGTCTACTTACCATCAAAATCAGGTCAAAGGACTATGAAGAGATGCCCGGGTCCCACCTGGGTGCAGAATTTTCCCTGCCCCACCGGGTGACGGCAGCCTCGTCTCCTCTCGATGGTCAAAGGTAGGTCACCCCTGCGAGGTGGTGGCTCTTCTTGCCTGGACAACTTTGGTTCAGCGGGACATGTGCTGTGTTGTTTCTTCCTTTGGGAAGCAGGGTCTCCAGGTGTCCGGGGCCGAGAGTTGTAGGGACGGGAACCTCCAGGTCCCTAAGTGGGTCACTGGGAATAACGGTAGGCAGGGCGTCGTGTGGAACAATGGCTGAGCCACCAGACGTGTCGGGGACTGAAAGACACCCCTGCAAAGGGGAAATGGCAGTGTGACGACAGTAAGGAAACACGTACCCACAGCACGGAAGCCGTCTGTTCCCTCTGTGGCTGTTGGCAGAATCTTAGTCATAACCGTCTTTCTTTGGATGACTGGTTTTCATGGCGGCTTCTCTCTGCTGCTATCTTGCTAGAGGAAACTTCCATCGATGGGGAAATAAAAAGTGTGATCTTAAGCCTGCTCTCCAGCCCTTAAAGTACAGGTTTTTCTTAGTCCCTAAATATCTGAGGATTCCTGGAGCGCCCAGTGGTAACAAGACCACTCTGTAAGTATTTATTCAGTAAATTAAAAGGTGAAAGCAAAGCGAGGTGAGGAATCTAAACTCAGAACTTGCATGCTTCTCCCGAGTGGACGAGTCTGCAGTTCTGGTCCAGAGTCTGGCTAAGCGTTCAGCTGTCTGAGCTGCAAGGCCGGTGGAGGCGGGGGTGGGTGGGGCGGCCTCGGACCCTGGGCTGCCTGCAGAGAAGGGGAACCAAACTGTCCCCGTCGCTGCTCTGATAGGTCACCTCTAGGTCTTCAGATACTTCCTGGTGCTTTGTCAGGCTTGGGATCCTCTACACCTTTAAAAAAAAATCACTCTCTGGGGGCCTGGGTGGCCCAGTTGGTTGGGCGTCTGACTTTGGCTCAGGTTCACGGTTCACGAATTCGAGCCCCACATCAGGCTTTGTGCTGACAGCTCTCCCAAAAACAAACATTAAAAAAAAATTTTTTTTTTAAAAACTGCCAAAGTAGGTATTCTGCCAAGTGCTGCCTTTCAAAATAAACTTGGAAAACAGAATGCTGATTCCACTCTTGCTTCAACTCAGGGCTTTTGTGGAGCTCCTCACTTGGCAATGGCCTTGGAGTCCACCTTGGAGCCACATAAAAACGTCAGCCATTTTTACCCCTTTGTTTTGACCAAAATGTTACCGTGCGATAAGATTTTTTGTCATAAAGAAAAACAATGCCAAAGTGATTACTATCATTGAAGACTTTTTGTTTGGGTCACAAGCTTTGAGAAGTTCCAGACGCTTTCAGTAAGTGCAACATAATTTAAAAAATATGTTTAGCCATCCACGGTGATTATTCTGGAGAGGACATTAGCTTACATGTAGGTGTGGTTAAAATCCTCTGCTGTGTTACCTGTCACATCACCTATACCACAAAAGCTGTGTTCTATTTACATAACTTCTTACAGAGATTTCACGCACGTGGTAGGCTAAAAATCAAAACTGCTTTTCCCACAAAAACAACTGACAAATTATCACACGTGATTCTTTCATGACAAAGTAACATGACACCATTTAAAAAAAATTTTTTTTTCAACGTTTTTTTATTTATTTTTGGGATAGAGAGAGACAGAGCATGAACGGGGGGGGGGGGGCAGAGAGAGAGGGAGACCCAGAATCGGAAACAGGCTCCAGGCTCCGAGCCATCAGCCCAGAGCCTGACGCGGGGCTCGAACTCACGGACTGCGAGATCGTGACCTGGCTGAAGTCAGACGCTTAACCGACTGCGCCACCCAGGCGCCCCATGACACCATTTTTAGAAAATTAAAAAAGGCAACTTAAAGCTAATTATCAGCATTTACAAATCAGTAAATCATGAAGTTTATGAAAAACCATTACATGCAGAGGTACAAAACACCAGTCAGAGCCAATCTAGCATAAATCTCGCTGGACAGGATTAAACGTCCTTTTCAACAGGCTGGCTATAATTATACTCACAGTGCGATTGGCCCTTCCCACCGTACGCTTATCACCATAAAACACACACACCTCACCGGTACAAATTTTATTATTTCTACTTGACGTTTCCCCCTAAAACAGAAAAGCAGTCTCTAAAATATGAAATAAATTAAGAATAATCTAGAAGTCTCATAGGGGTCCAGTTCTAGTACAGAGTTCCTCTATGTCATGAAGTACTTCACTTAGCCACTCGGGAGGAATTTATTTTCTTGATGTCAACCTGGCTCAGAATCAGTGTCCCATTTTTGAATTTTCCAACCTGTCCAATCCGTCCACTTGACAAAATGCTGGGAGCTGATTTCTTCTTTTTGGCTCTCCTGCAGTTAAAAATCAGGGAAGGGTACTGAAGTTAAGCTTACAAGGAAGGGCTATCGCACCACCAGCCAGGTGGCCGGGGCCCCGCCCCTACAAACTCCAGGTGTCCCCCTGTGCGTCCCCCCCCACTGCCCCGCCCCAACTGCGGGCCTTCACGTGGCCCCAGAAACATGCCGCCTCCTTCCTGACTCAGGGCCTTTGCATTGGTTTCTTCTATGTGGAATGTTCTCTACAGATCTTTCCAGGCTGCCCCCTCCTCTTCACTCAGCTCTCAACTCAGATGTCACCCCCCTAGAATGACATCCCGGCCCATCCCCGGTGATTTTCTCCCCCGATGCTTTAGCGCCACCTCTTCATAGAACCTGCCGGGGCCTGACATCCCCTCGCTAACCTGTTCATATGTTTTGGTGTGTCTCCCTCACTACAGTGTAAGCTCCTCAAAGACAAGGAAACTGCCAGTGTGACGATGCCTATATTCCCGACACCCAAGACACCCATATGCCTGGCACGCAGGGGACCCTCAACGGACAGACAGGTATGGTCAGAACAAACGACCGCTTGACGGCACGTGCAAGCTCACTAGGAGTCCAAGGAAAAGGCCAAGACAAAAGAAGTCGATTTTGAACCAGTAATTCAAGGAGGGAGAAAAGGCATTTTTGAACAAAAGCTAAGAAACAAAAGTAGAGCAACAACATCAGTGTCCCGTACTCAGACCGTGGCGCCCTGCCTACGTGGTAGGTCAAGGAACTGGCAGTAGAGACCCAGGCCGTGCTGTCTTATCAGCAGGCTCTTGAGGCGGGGGACACAAGTCTTTTGTTGGAAACGTCAATCTCAGCTTCTCCACCAGTCACTTGAGGTGTCTGGTCTTTGGAAATGGGAGACCGGAGAAAATTCCCAGTTTGGTTCTGAGGTAGCTATTCGATCTTGGGCCATGTCCTACACCTGGTCTTCCCTTCACGGGACTTGCTGAGAATCCACGAGGGACAGTGAAGCACTCTAACGGGCTAGAAACACCGCGTAAACTCCAGGTGCTATCTTCACAACTGATCCAGCATGCTTATCCAGATCAGTCCACCCCAGTAGCTGATGCTGTGTCACTCACCTGTCTTCCTGCCCTTTCCTCTTCTTTTTCTTGAAAATATCTGTGTCCTGGGCCTGATTTCAGAATTTAAGATAATATATGTGTCAATAACGGATAATGGAGATTCAAAAAAAAGACGAGGTTTGTGGTCAAAAGCCAGTAAGCTATCATTTAATTTTTTTTTTCAAGTAGGTGTATGAACACAAACTTAGTTTTTTCCTAAAACTCTTTCAGAGTGTGAAAGGTCATTCCAGAAAAGACTGACAGTAGAAACATCGAATCTTCCGTTTTACATGAAAGGGAGCGAGGGTAACCTCTGTTCCTCTGAGGTTTTTCATGGGTCCTCGTGTTCTACACAATGTAAAATGCAATACAGGAGAAAGAGCAAGGCAGCTTATGTTATCCGAGTGGGAGTTTGCTATTTCAGAGCAAACCTTTCATGTAAATATGCCAGGTTACCTGGCTGGTATTACGGAATAAGGCGGACCTGAACAAGTGGAGAAAATGATCCTCTAACTCCAGATTTTACTGTTGTCTACACTGCTTTCCAAGCAGCCAGTCCAGCATTCCACTGTGGCCAAATGCAGCCACCTTTCTGTTCTAGCTTAGGAACGAAAAGGCTATTACTCCTACCATTCTCTTTTCTTCTTCTTTTGCTGCCTTTTTTTCTTTGATTTGCTCCTGCAAGACCTTGTAATTCACATAACTATTTTTGGGAGGCTGAAATGAAAGGAAAAAAAAAAAAAAGATATCATTTTTTATTTTGCAAAGACCTCCCAGTGACCCATGCCCTGACTTGCCCCGGGCTCTTCCCCCGCTTTTGTATCCTGTCTGATGCTGGAAGACGGAAGCAGCCCCCCACCTGAGCACCCAGCATTATGGCACGTTCCCGTTCCAGGACTCTTTCCTTTCCTTTTCCGTAACCCGTGATCCCGAACCGGTGCACTTCCAAGCGAGCCTGTGGGCACAAAGCAGAATCAGACCCAGGTGCGTTCCAAAGACTCCAGACAGGAGATACATCCCGGGGAGTAACACACGTCAGACACAACGTGCTGTCGCAAGAACTCTGTGGAGGGTGGTTTGCGCAGCCTTGTGGAGGTCTCCGTTCTCCCACGTTTAATTTTGGACAGGTGAAGCAAAGACTTCTCTCCACACAAATTAGCAACAGAATTCGGATTAAACGCAGAGATGCTCTCTGTGTTTCCACTTAAAGGTACCCCTCCAAACACACTCACAAGGAGAAACCATTCCTCACGGAGGTTTCAAATGCAGATCTGGGTTTGCTCATTTGTTTAAAGACACTGCAGAGGAAGAGGAAAAAGTCACCAGTGCCCACTCTTAGCAGCTCAATCCCTTCCTCCTCTCTTCTTTTTCATGCATTTTTAAAAACCGAGTTTTGACTACAAAATACACACGCCTGGCTTTTCATACTTACCACTGCATTACTGGCATTGTGGTCACAAGCCCTCGGGTTTTAACTGACAGCCTAATAATCACCAAGAGAAGGTAGTGTGATTTGCTTAGCCATTTACTCAACCACTGGACATGTAAGCATATTCTTGTGTGTGTGTGTGTGTGTGTGTGTGTGTGTGTGTGTGTGTGTTATAAAGCTGAAAAGATTAACAATTTCAAAACACATACCTTCTCTAAGTTAAATTCTTGTCTATCCACATCGTTCCCAAGGATATTAGTTTTGGTCTGAAAAGAAAGAGAATTCTTATTAAGATCATCTGTTACTGTATCATTAGAGTATTTGTCACCAACAGAGTAGTCATGTTTTTTTGTTTTTCAGCTTATTTATTTTGAGAGAGAGTGCACATATGTGTGTGCATGAGCGGGGGAGAGGCAGAGAGAGAGAGGGAGAGAGAGAATCCCAAGCAGGCTCCGATGCAGGGCCTGAACGCTCGAACCAGTAGATCATGATGTGAGCAGAGATCAACAGCCAGACGCTGAACCTACTGAGCCACCCAGGCACCCCCAGGGTAGCCATGTTTTAAAAAGCCCAGAAACTGGCCCAGATGTCTACATACCGAACAATAACACAAGCATGTTGCACAAAAGCCTAATGACCAGTTAATGGAAGAAAAAAAACCTTTTGAAGTCTCAAAGCTTAAGAAAGGATGAGAAATTTCTCTTAAATTTTTTTTAACATTTATTCTCGAGAGTGAGTGAGACAGAGCACGAGAGAGGGAGACACAGAATCCAAAGCAGGCTCAAGGCTCTGAGCTGTCAACACAGAGCCCAACGTAGGGCTCGAACTCACAAACCATGAGGCCATGACCTGAGCCAAAGTCGGATGCTTAACCAACTGAGCCAACCAGGTACTCCAGGATGAGAAATTTTTTTAAAATAAAAATAAAAATAAAAAATAAAAATAAATAAAAATAAAAAAAACAAAAATAAAAAAAATGATGAGAGAGACTAATGTCTGTCTCTCATAAACCACATGTACAAGATTCTGTTTGGTGTGGGGTTTAAAAAAGGGTGGGTGTTTGAGGGATTCTGGAGGGTAGTATTATATTTGAATAATTCTTTCTCTTCTTTCTTCTTCCCATCCAGCCATTAGAATGATGGCTAACAAAACTCTCTTGACTTGAGTATTTCTTTCAGGAACATCAGATTTCTAGAATGGCTTATACTTCCCAACAGAAAATGATGATACTGCAAAAGCCTGCAAAGCATGTAACTCTTTATATTGGTGCATCTACTAGCTACGGTTACTGACCCACAGAATTGACCAGAAGCTTGAGATTTGAAGGAAATACACTGTCCCATCTGGTTAACAAGAGCGGTCGCTACTCAACTCCAGCCACCAGATCTGGACCAACGGGAAGCAGGCTCTAAAAAAGAAAAGGCACCCTTCTCCCTCACAGGACAGTGGTGAAGAGGGATGGATGGCCGGCTGCTCTGCTCCCAGGATGGGACCTCCCGCTGCTCCTGCTCAGCAGGTGGGGGTGTGGGGAGGGTCGGGGCTGGGTTGGCTCGGTGCCCTACCCCACACCACGCTGGGAAGTGCCAGAAACACTGCAATCTACAGGTCTCCTGGACTCTCCTTCTGCAAAGGGGAGCTGTATTTCAGCTCAGCCTGTCCCCCCGACCCCTGCTGTGTTTGGGCTGTGTGGGTCAGTCAGTGACTGTTTCCACAGGGGACAGCCTCTGTCTCCACAAGGCCATGTACTGACCTCACAGAGGGGTTCTTACGATGAAAGTGGATGAAGTGTGCAATGGTAGATGTTAGCGACGTCCAATAAACAGGAAGACGTGGCCAATGCTGCGAAGTCACAAGACTCCTGGGAGGCACCACAACACTGCTCACCCGCTGTCACGCCGCACACAGACTCTTGCAGGCCCATGTGCTGATGGTGACAGACAGAACAGGGCACCACCAAGGATGCTCTAAGCATGCGGCCTCGTTCTGTGCTCTCAGTCCCAATAAATGCACCTTCCGCATTAGTTTATCAAGATTCCTGACTTTTACTACGTTTACGATTTTCTTCGATCGTGTATTGCACAGACTCAAATGCCTTAATTAAGACCACGGGCACGTGGAGGACGCCAGGCACCTCCATTCATTTATCCCAGAAAGTCTTACTTCCTGTTCCATGACTGGAAAAAGTCTACGTCTACCTTGAAGGTAAAAACTCTTCTCCACTGGTACGTGCGTCTAATCTACTCAATATGATGAACACTAATACCACTTTTGGAAAACAAATGGCTTAAGTCTTAATGACTTCAGGATCATCCAGATCCTCAAATATAAATTATATGTTAAAAAGAAACACCGTAGGAGTGCCCTGGTGGCTCGGTCAGTTGAGTGTCCAACTGCTGTCTCGGGTCATGATCCCAGGATTGTGGGATCAAGCCCCACGTTGGGCTCTGCGCTGAGCATGCAGCCGGCTTGGGATTTTGCCTTCGTCTGTCCCTCCCCGCACCCCACCCCCGTCGTGCTGCCCCTCTAACCCACGTGTGCTCGAAGATAAAATTTAGGAAGAAAAAAGGAAACCTGTATGCTGGTCACAGCCTCCAAAATCCCATGAAACATTTAACTCCATTTCTAAGTATTGAAGTAGTTGTTTATCTTTCTTCTTCTGTCCCAACCATCCAATCAAGTAATGGCTAAACTCTTTCAAGTTGAAAATTTCTTTCAGGAACATCAGATTTCCCGCAATACTGGAGATGTCACAGATGCCCCTGACTATTACTAGAAGATCAGCAAGAGGAAGGAAGCACTGTAATAAAATTCCTAGCCACCTGTGCTACAGTCACCGCAGGGCTGAAACCCCTGGGTCTGGGGGAGAAATTGGCCCCCAAAGGACAGGGGCATGGCTTCTGATGTCCCTGCTTCACCCAACACCAGCCCACAGATTACCCAGTCCTTGCATGCAGGCGTCTGTTTATCTTGGCCGTGGGGACACCTGGGCCGAGGGGCTGTGGAGACCTGAGTGGCAGGCCTGGCCTCACACAGATCATCTTGCTGTAGAAACTCCTCAGCTTTGTAGCCGTCGATATATTTGAGAAAAGGTCTGGATTCTAGATCCTTGTTTATTTATCTTTTCATTTTTATTCAAAAAAAATTTTTTTAATGTTTATTTTTGAGAGAGAAAGAGCACGAGCTGGGGACGGGCACAGAGAGAGAGGGAGACCGAGAATCCAAAGCGGGCTCCGTGTCGATAGCACAGAGCCTGATACGGGGCTTGAATCCACGAACCGTGAGATCACGACCCGAGCAGAAGTCGGACACTTAATTGACTGAGTCATCCAGGTGCCCCTCTAGATCCTTGTTTACAATAAAAATAAACATTTGGAAAATAATTCTTAGCTAATTATTTTGTGATGTTGAATCCATAGGCATGACCCCCCCCCCCCCCACTATTACCTAACTTTTATTCACAGCTTTAAAGCCACTTCAGTACATTATTCATAACGTATTGCCTGGTAGAGAAACAATCGGTGGTTTTCCCTGTTTTCTTGCCCCTCGGACCCACTGCAGTAGGAGGCACAGCACCTGCAGACAATACCGGGTCCTCTTCTGCTTCTAGGCTTTGCTGCCTACCTGAAGCTAGACAGGGCCACGTGACCTTCTGTGGCCAAAGAAGTGTGAGCAGAAAGGAAGTGTGCCCCTTGCACATGGAGCCTCTCTCTACCAGTCATCTGTTGACTCCCCTTCTTCACCAAAGCAACTAAGAACCTTCCAGATGGTGGAGCCCCTATTAGCCCCGGCCCCTAGCTGAGGACGGTGTAGGGCAGAGCAGTCTGTCCTTAGGAGATATCAAAATAATTAATTTTTGCCTTCGAACCACTAAGACGGAGGGACTACGTTATTAAACCACAGCCTAATCTAACTTGACCGGCAAAGCCTTACTGTCCCACACACAGGAAAGAGAAATGTCTGCAGATTTTGAGAACTTGCGTGTTAGGCTATGAAGAAAGAAAGCTGTGGAAAGAAGAAACCGTTTGGGAGAAATGCACGGGGACGATGGATAAAGGCCCGCAGCCCCCTAGGCTCAGTGAACTCATCCACAGGTTGACTTGCTGACCGCAAGTACTTTCTCCTGCACTGGTTAGATTCTTCTATTCTATCAGCTACACTGTCCAACCTTTGTCCAATTAGAGAGTAGCTGGGGAAATAAACAGTCTCGTTTTAAAAAGCAAGCAGTTCTGGGGCACCTGGATGGCTTAGTCAGTTAGGCATCCAACTCTCCGTCTCGGCTCAGGTCTTGATCTCATGGTCGTGAGTTCAAGCCCTGCACTGGGCTCCGTGCTGGGCATGGAGCCTCCTTAAAAATACAAATAAAAAATATAAATACAAAGTATGTATCTACATAACCGTATTTGTAAAAATATAATAACATATATGTAATTTAAATGCAAGCAGTTCCAAGAGCATCAGGAAATGTACTTGATCTTCTTGAGGAGACGTTTCTTCAACTACATTACTCTTACACCTATCTGACACTGGATCTCGCAAAGAACAGGGGTGTGGAACAAAGTAAGAACCTGGGGAAATAACTTGGGGACAGGTCTTTCTATCTAGTGAAGATGCTGGGAAGCAGTGCACTTGTGTTACTCAAAGGACAAAGAGCCTAACCTGACCTGTATTCTCTCTTTCTGGCATAGTGGTGAGGCACACAGCTCTCACACAGCCAGAAACCCCGGGGTCCGAACCTGAGCTCTGGTATTTACTTCACATCCATAATTCTTTGTGTGGAATCCTTAGAAAATTAAGAAGTTTTCACATTTTAGAAAGGTAATACTGTGACTATACTGAATATCATATGTCATTTCCAGTGGGGGCCGAGACAGCAACCCATAATCCATTAAGCACGTTCACATTTCTGCAGCAGGATCTATGGATATTCATGCCAAATGCAACAAACAGAAATAATTCCTAAGCCTCATCTGAGTTCAGTTCAGGTTTTGCTGCCAAATAAATCTATCTGCATCAAACTTCGAAACGAAACATTAACTGTGACTTCCAAAGCTCCGGGGTTCTGGGATTGCAGGTATGGGGCGGCTGACTGTTTAAACGCAGGCATGCACCCTCACCTCTCCAGGCATCAATTTCCTCTGTAACATGAAGACAGGGCGCATGAATTGTGAGGATTCCACGAGATAACGAATTAGGGAACAGAAATCATCACTCGTGGAACGCAGTAAGCACCAGCGCATCTTGGTAATTAGGAGTGATTGGCTACCTGCTCAGGAACAGTCTACATGCACCTGGGTCCAGGCCCCAGGAACCAAGAGCCCCTTCTGATCTAGAGTCCACCGTCCTATTATTTCTATTGTCTTTCTTACCCCTTCTTTTCTATGGAGGCCACAAAGGAGGCTAAGGTTCAGGGCAGGGGCCGACGTTAAGGGTGGAAAAAACACTGGTGAGACATCCCTGTGAGCCAAACAACACTTGTGTCATTTCCAGCCACACCCGACGCTTTCATTTCTCAAGACCCTTCCTCGTAGGCAGCCTTGCACCCATTCAAGAATGGTTCACGCACTCATTCCTCATATTCCGTCAGGCCACCCATCCTGACCCAGCACCGCTGCGGTCAACTCCTGATTCAGCTCCTGCAGGCCTCTGCTACCGCTTCCCTGTAATCTAGTTACCACACAGAGGCCTGAGTGATGTTTAAAAGGTTAAGTCAGATCACCTCATGCCCTTAAAACTCTCTGCTGGCTTTCCACATCCTTTAAACTGAACTCCAAAGGTCTTACCATTGCGTACGAGACCCGGCAGGGGCTGGCCTTGGCCTGTTCCTCCACCGCAGCTCATACCATTCTCCTCTCTGTCCTCCTCCACTAGGCTTCCAGCTTCCAGAACACATTAGGCCTTCTCACGCATCCGGACGCTGGCAATGCTGTGTACTATCCACCCGCGTTAGTCTCCCGGCTCCTGTCTCTGACAAACCTCAGCAGAGCTTTGTCACCTTCTCCTGAGACTTCCACCGACTCTACCGAAAGGAGGTTCTGCCTGCTACTCTCAAGGCCCTATTTCTTTTCCTTCAGAAGGTTTATAACTTTTTAATTATATTATTAATTTACCTGGAGTTTGGTTGACCCCACCAGTAGAGAGTATACTCCATGAGGGCAGAGGACTCTCTCTCATTCACCATTGGATCTTCTGGGTCTGACAAATAGTTGGCACCCAAATTATTTGTGGAATAAGTAAGTACACAGGTGATCTTTTACCTACTGTTTCCTGAGAGACTACTTCTATAGTCACTCCGCTGTAAAAAGGATAGGATTAGGAAGTTCATCTGTAGGTTAGACACCTGGGATGGGTAAAATGTTACATAAATGGTGGCCAAGTTCCCAGATGAACCCATTCAAGGGGGTGATGTCAGCGGGGAGGGTTTCCCCCCACAGCCGACAAGCAATCCTCCCACACCAGCTATAATCCAACTCTATCTGGAGACAGCACCACACTGCACAGACTAAGGGCTCAGTCCTACAAGACTGTCCCTCGCTTCATATGCTGCAAGCCCAGGTTGTTACCTGTACTTAGGACTGGCTACCCACAGGTTACAAGTCCCCACGACTCCTTCCTTGGGTTGGCTGAATTTGCTAGAGCAGCTCACAGAACTCAGGAAACCTAACTGACTAGATTGCTGATTTATTACAGAAGGATACAAGTCAGGAACAGCCAGATGGGGGAGACGCACAGGGTACAGCGGGTGGGACAGGACAAGGCACTCCCATGTCCTCTCTGAGCGTGTCACTCGCTAAGCACCTACAAGTGTTCACCAACCCACAAGCTTTCCAAACCCTTTTGCGTTTATAGAGGCTTTGCTACCTAAGTATGATGGACTAAATCGCTGGCTATTGGCAATAACTTCAACCTCCAGCCCTTTACCTCTCCTCAGAGGTCAGAGAGACAGGATTGAAAGTTCCAAACCTCTTGTCACGGGGTGGGTTCACCTGGCAGTCTGTCCCATCTTTACAGCCTTTCCAACTCACTCATTACAAAAGATACCTTTACTGCTCTTATCACCTAGGAAAGTCCAAGGGTTATAAGGGTTTTGTGCCTGAAACAGGGGACAAAGAAAACATAAATAGATATGTACAGATACAGATACAGATATAGATATATACATACACACACACACACACACCAAGTATATGTATATATATTTTTTCTTATTATAAATCACCATACCACACCATTGAAAAACTGTTTCAATACACAATGCACTTTAATCACAGTATTTATGGCACAAGCCTAAGTTCTAGGGAAAGACGGTCACTTCCTGGGTTCAGGCAGGGCCAGCCGGGTTATCTAACTGGTTAGTACCTCTCAAATATTCTCCAAAGACGACCAGCTGACTCCATGCAGGCTATCATTATTACACTTCTTTGCTGATTCCATGTCTGTTTGAACTGTCCTACAATGACCTGTAAGCTTGCAGAGAGCAGGGGCCACAACTATCTTTTACTATGTGGTACAAACTCTTAGCATGGCATCACATATCCCAATTACTCCCAGCCGACTGACTGTTCCTTACCTGGCGTTCCCTAGATCCAGGATATGCCATTAATAAGCAGTGTTGTATTCGTTTGTATTTATTTACATGTTGCAATGCCAACAGGCTGAAGTCTTTTTACAGGCATATGTGTTTTTATTGTGTCCATATCCCGTCTCCTTAGCCAGACACATTCACATTTTCAAAAGAATCAATTTTAGGGGCTCTTGGGTGGCTCAGCTGGTTAAGCGTCCGACTTCAGCTCAGGTCATGATCTCGCGGTTCTTGAGTTTGAGCCCCGCATCGCTCAGAGCCAGGAGCTTGTGCAGATTTTGTGTCTCCCTCTCGCTCTCTGCCCCTCCCCCACTTGCACGCTCACACGCTCTCTCTCTCTCTCAAAATTAAACGTAAAAAAAATTCTAAGGATCAATTTTAAAAAGGAGGAAAGGGCAGAACGGCCAAGGGCAACTGAGAAGTTTCATTAGGGTCAGGAGGTCCAAAGTGTCCAATGAGCTGAGGTTCCTGAGAAAAACCAACTACAATGAAAAAGGGATCAATTGGAATTGGAAGAAAATAAATCTAACAGCCTGCTGCAGATGATCTATTATTAAGAGACAGAGAAATGCATTCATTCAACGCTAACCTTTTTGTCCTTTCCACTAGAAAACTTTCCATTCTAGAGAGAACACAAGCAGGTGTAGGAGGAAACAAAAGACCGAGGACCTGAGGAAATGAGGGAGGGTACTCAGATGCTTTGCTAAACTCCCCAAATGCAGAATTATATATAATGCAAAGCACTGTTTCCCAACCTTTCTCACTGCACGGCACACACAGAAAATACTAACATCTGTATGGCACACTGGGGGACACTATGCTAATACTGATCTCTTGTGAGTTTCCCTGGCTGATCAGCTTGGGAGTTCCTGCTGGCTGAAGGACCAAGGGAATCCGTTTCCTAGTCCACCTCTAACAGTGCCCAGTGCCCCAGCATTTGGAGTATGAGCCGGGAACTGACCGGGAATCCTAAAATAAAGGTAGATTATTACAAAAAGCCCTATTAATCTTTGAGGAAGAGATCCTGATGAGGATCACTTCACTTGACATGAAGTGCTACCTGAATTCTAGGGAAGATTATACAGATGGTTTTTAAATCGTAAAAAAGATGTGGTAAGCACTGGACACCGACCAGCACATGCACACACGTGTTCACTGAGAACCATGCAAGCCTGACTGTCTTTGCAGCGGGTTGAGTTGTGGTCTCCAAAGAGACATGTTCTAAACCCCCAGAATCAATGAATGGATCTTATTGCGGGAAAAGGGTCTTTGTAGTGTAATTAAGGATCTCATGACAAGACCCATTCTAGATTTCGGGTAGGCCCTAAATCCAATGACAGCTGTGCTTTGAAGAGACAGAGGGAGATTTAAGACTCAGACATATAGAGAAGGCGGCCATGTGTAGACACAGGCAGAGGTTAGGGTGACGCAGCCACAGGCCAACGAACACTTAGAGCCACCAGCAGCTGAAAGAAGCAAGGAAGGATTCTCTTTCAGAGCGGAAGGTGCCTAGCCAGCCAACACTTTGATTCTGGCCTCCTGGTCTCTAGAACTGTGAGAGAATGAATTTCTGCCCAGCAGCCCTAGAAACTAATACAATCCCCTTTTCCGTTTACGACAGACAGAAGTTTATAGGACATGAAGAATGCAACAGAAATAGAGTCCCTGGAGTTCTGCAATGAATTTGACCAAACCATAATGATATCCTTGTGGGCAAAGCTGGATATGCAACCATACCTCTCTCCTGGACTGAATTTTGAGTGAGACTTCCAAACTCATTCTGAGATTACCGCTCAGTGAAATCAAACTGCTTTCCGTGAGAAGGGGAGTTCCTTGAGAGGGAGCAGTTTCGTCTATTTTGTTCAATGCTAGAACCCAGTGCCTACAATAGCAGCCAGAAATAGTGGCCGAATGACTCCGTTTTCTCAGAGCACAGTTAAGCAGAAGCTCCAGGCGCATGAAAGAGTCAACTCGGCAGGCTTGCGTTGGAGTATTGTCTGATAAGAGTGTTTTTACATCCCCGAGCCCCTGAGTCAAGGCTGCCCGGATAGTTTACACTAGCCGTGGGATTTATGGTGAACACGTCCTTTTTCCTGGGGGTCTAAGAGCTTCAATAACTAAGGTCAGTCTGGATGTCTACACAACCGACCCCCAATAAAAACCCTGGACACCCAGGCTGGAGTGAACTTCCCTGGTCGGCAACACTTCCGACCTGCTGTCACGAATCACTGCGGGTGGAAATTAAACGCATCCCACACAACTCCACTGGGTAGGGACCTCTGGAAACCTGCACCTGGTTTCCTTCAGACTTGGCCACATGCACCTTTTCCCTTCGCTAGTTTTCCTCTGTATCCTTTTGCTGTAATAATTCGTGACCGTGACGATGACTATGGCCAAGTCCTGAGTCCTGTGAATGCTTTTAGCCAATCCTCAAGCCTGAGGGTTGTTCTGGGGACCTCTGACACGGTCTGTAAAAGTACTCATCTAGGTGCGCCTGGCTGGCTCAGTCGGAAAAGCATGCGACTCTTGATCTCGAGGTCAGGAGTTCGAGCTCCATGGAGGGGAGGGGAGGGTAGAGATTACTTAAATAAATAAAAAATTTTAACAAAGAAACAAAAAGATACTTCTCTCCAACTGCAATATCAGGGTTTCCAACACATACATTGAAACTAACCAACTCATTACCTGTGTGTTCTCATCTTGATCCGGCTTCCCTTTCCTTTTTTTATTTCTGCTGTGAAATTCTATCACTTGTACTCGCTCCCTGCCGTTCCTCAGTGTTGAGGGAGATGCCGTAGCACTAGGGGCGTCTGGTCCTGAAGGAGAGCTGGTGGGGGTCACAGCAGGAACACCCTGCAGCTCTTCCCTGAGTTCCTTGAAGAAGCTGGAGACTCTCTTCCTTTGGCCTCTCACGGGAGAACCAGGTACAGGAGCTGGGTCTGCTGCCAAGGTCACTGGAGTCCCTACATCTCTCCTCTTGTTTTCTCCCTTCTTTCTGATCCTTTTCTCTTCTGCCTCATCTTCTGTCTCCCCTGTTTGTTCAAACACAGAGTGGAAAGATAAATATTTTTGGTTCTATCGAATGAGATGAAGGCACTTGTACATACGCCACAGCTGTCAACACCCAGAAATACAAAGAAAAAAAAAAAACAAACGATTTCTTTTCCTTCAGATAGGGATGTATTTGCACAATTCATAGAATCCCAAAATGCGTGGGGCGCCTGGGTGGTTCAGTTGGTTAGGCGCCTGCCTTTGGCGCAGGTCATGATCTCGCAGTTCGTGGTGAGTGTGGGCCCCACATCCAGAGCCTGCTTCAGACCCCCTGCCTCTCTCTTTCTCTCTCTCTCTCTCTCTGTCTCAAAAATCAATAAACATTAAAAAAGAAAAGAATCCAAAATGCAACATCTTTTCCTAGGTAACTGACTGTATCCATGCCTTTGACCCTTGCAGCATAAAAAGTTCTCACCTTGTTCCGTAATAAAAGTGACATCAAGGCAATAATCCCAGGAACTGGTAATCCCAATTGGCTCACGTTTAGTGCTGAAAATGTCTGCCACTGCAGCTGGTGTTTTGTTTTATTTGTTTTTTTAACACTTTCTAGGGGTATAGGTAAGTATCACAGTCTTCCTATCGTCCAGAGTCGAAGTCCATACAAATACAGGGAATGTACATACGAGGGAGTCTGAGGATTGGAACCCAGGCTCTGCAAATTACTAGCTAGGTGAGCTTTGGGAAGCATTTTAACCTCTAGTGCTGGTTTCTCCATTTGTAATAATGGGATTAAGGACAGGATCAAGTTCACTGGGTTGTGAAAATTAAATGAGTAAATACGTGAAAAATATGGAGTGCATAGGAAATTCTCTATACTTTTAGCTATTGTGTTTACTGTTTAAATAAACTGATCATTTTGAGCAATGGCTCCAAACTAAAATAGCTTTTGAAACATCACCTTACAAATTTAAGAAATGCTTGCTCCTTAAGGGCGTTAACGCCTAACAATCATCTCTGTTGCATGAACAAGGGATGTCGCCTTCCCTGGAGAAAGTTCTTCAGTGTGTGTAACTGTCTTCCTACTAAAGTGCCTGGCGGTTGCCAATCCCAATGACCTTTTTGTATTTCCTTTTCCCCAGTCAAGATAAAAGGAGACCACAGGCTGGCCAACTTAACGAAGAAAAGCCTGCAGCAAAAAAGCTTCGCGTGAAAACGTTCTCTGAAGTCCGTGGGGGGAGGAACACACTGAAGGATGGGGCACCAACGTCACAAGGTGGTACCAGGGCACCAGGATCACCGAGTTTGGGGGAGAATGTGGGGTGGGCAGTGGGCTTCCGAGAGGGCCGAGAAATGTGAAAGGGTGGGCTATTCCGAGAACCCTTTAAACCTGACAGCCTTGGTGCTCATGACGAGTAACTAAGTAGTGCCCACACTCAGGGGCGACGTGGGAGGCTGTATTCGTAAAGAGTAACAACAGACGCTGAAGGTGGGGGCGGGGGGGGGGGAGAAGGGGGGAAGTCGGACGCAGGTGTGTGCTGAACCCATCCTGGGAACCAGGTCTGCAAAGGGAGGGGTGCTCCACGTGCAAGAACCTTTAGCCTTGAACGCCAAAGGCGACCCAGTTCGGAAGGCACAGCAGACACCTCGGCTGCAAGTCCGCTCTCCACGTGGGCTCCGAGGCCCCTCACTCACCGAAGTCGTAGAGGTTCCGGAGCAGGGCATCCAGAAGTGTCTGAGAACCCGGAGGCGCGGGGGCCTCCGATCCCCGCTCCTGGGCCATCGCGGGGTCTGCCACGGCCGTGCCGCCCAGAGCCCGCCCGGACGCACACACTTCCGAGTTCTGACGCGCTGCGCGCGCGCGCGCGTGCGTCGCGGGTCCCGGCGCGGCTTCCGTCCTGGTTAAGATGGTGGCGCCCGGGGTCCTGAAGAGCGGCCGCAGAGGGTGCCGCCGCCCTAGGCGAGGTCGGGCCGCCCTGCGCGGAAGAACCGCCCCCAGCAGCATCACTACGACCGCTTAGCAAAGAATTTCAGGCCCCGCCCGGACGGCAGCCGCATCATGGATTCTTCCAGCTCATCTAACTCTAGCTTCTCCGTCGGCTCCGCCAGTCCCGGCGCTGTCGTGCTCCTCTACTCGGTAGGCGCCCCGGGGAACGAGGCCCGGGGCGGGGCCGCAAGAGAGGACCCCACCCTCCCGGTCCCGGCCTCCTACGGGCCAGGACCCCTGGCCCAAAAGAGTGGGTGCCGGGGTCGCCGAGGAGGGGTGAGGTGGTTGACTTGGTTTCCAAGGCAACGGTGTATCGCTGTGTGTATGAATGTGTGTAAGCTTTTAGAAGTTTCTATGGGCGACGGTTCCTCTGGTTCCTTTCCACGCGTTCCTTCTCTTTGCCTCCACCAGGCGGGGGGCCTTCAGAGAGCCCCTGACGCAGGAATGAGGCGTGAGAAAGGGATCTCTCTGCCTCCAGCGAGGGGCTGCCTGTAGGTGGAACTGGAGAAACCTGCCTGATTCTGACCTGGCCTGATATGTCAGCGTGTGGCTCCCCACCCCGCCCTTTTGCTGCCGTGATGTTCCTGGGAGAAAAGTATTTGGCTCGTATGGGGACACAGAGTTTGTGATAAGACTTAAAAGTTTTTCAAATAGAAAGATTGGGAACTTCTGGAAAATTTTACTGCGTTTTTTGTCTTCCATCCGTACGTTTTGCGGAAGGAAGCTAATGCCGCCCGGTCTCTCCCAACTTGCCTTCTAACCCCCAACCCTCTCTCCCTCTCCCGATTGTAACTGATCTTTTTTGCCAACAGAATGTCGGTCGCTCACCATTTATATGAAGAAATTATGAGGTGAACGCTTTGTAGTTCTCAGGATTGCACAATTCTGGGGCAGCTGATATTTTTTTTTAACCACGAAATTAATTTTTAGGTACTTTACAAGGCAATGAAAGAATGCATTTTAAAAAGCATGTTACTATGTCATGGAGGTTAGCGCCAATTTCTGTCTTAAATATAATGTTATTGTGTGTAGGAAGGTCGTAACAGGGAAAAGACAAAACAATGAGATAAACCAAAAACTCAGTTTCAAAAGAGAAGGTAGATACAGGGCTACCTTCAATTTGGGACACCAGCATTCTTTGGAACATGGGGAAACTTCTCCCTCCATGTGGAGAGCTCTGGGGTTATAATTGCTGTCAACTGCCCACTTCTGTGAGAGTTATTACTTTAACCTCTCTAGTTGTTGACCTCACCCCACAGCTCTGTGGGGGAACTATTTTGACCTCATTTTCTGACTCTGCTGTTCCAGACCAGGCATACAGGGAACCGGGTTGCTGTGTAGATCCTGACTCACCATAGGTAGCTTTTTCAGCCCTAAACTGGTTTGTGAATTGACTGCAATTTTGCACATGCATATAAAGGAAAGAGTTGGGTTTGTTTTTTTTTTTTACTTCCCCATTTACTGCTGGTTCTTTAATGATAACGCTTTGGTCGGCTTTTTCACATGAAAAATTAAGGCAATTGTACGTGAGCTTTTTCTACCTGTGAAGCTGGACAGAAGCCCTCGCTATTCTTGTAACTGCATAGGCTTTACTCTTAGGATAACCTGAACTTTTTCTTACTATTTCAGGCTGTCCTTATTTCCTCAGCCACACTGTTCTTGTGCAATAATCTAATGTGAGAGTAGTACTTAGAGATATGTAAGATACTCCTGATTGCAACAAACATTACAGCACTGGTTACTTACAGCGTCCTAGTCATTATTTTCAACACCCAGAATATAGACATTAAAGACCCAGCCTTTGCCTCCATGGACTTGAAGTTATGAAAATAAACAATTGCAATTACAATTAAGTGAGGTAAGGGCAAAGGTCAAATCATCCACAGCACGTTGTGGCAGGAATGAGAAGGAGCACCTGACCTGTTTGGGGACTCAGAGGAGACTTTTAAGAGAAGGCGACATGTGAGCTGAGTTTTTGAGGTGTGAATGGGAGATGAAGGAGAGGAAGACACCCATGGTAGGTGTCTTCCATAAGAAAGCCACTCCCTTGCATGTTTGGGAGAACCTAGTAGTTAGGTAAGGGTAGAATAAAGGAGACGTGGGAAACAAAACTAAGGAAGTGGGCAGAAGATAGTTCCTAGAGGGATTTTATATATCATATTTACGCACCCTTAAGAATAAAAGCTTTCTAAGGGAACCTTTAAGGATGATCGGATTTGTATTTTTGGAAGTCTAAGGAGGCTGGGTTTCTGGAGTGGTTATTTGTGTGGATAACCTTCACTTAAGTAGAGACGGTAGAAGGAGAATCTGATAGGAGAAGGAATCTGACGCCCTAAGCCTGGGGAGCAACGGAACACGATTGCCGTCATCCAGAGAAGTCCTAAAAGCCTGAGGCAATGGCAGTGAGCCTAGGGAGAAGGGTAAATTGGTTAGTTTGAGTTGGTTAGGATAGTTGAATGCGGTGGCTGAAGAAAAGGAGGTTTCTGTGATTCGGCAACTGGGCGGACGCTGCCGATAGGGAATCTGGGGAGAGGAACAGGTTGTGTCAGTTTCAGATGTGTTCAGTTCCAGATGCGAGTGGTAGAATGAATGATTTTGAAGTCGTGGATTACTACGTTATGGACCCCATACCTCACAGGTGTTTGGGAGACATCCAGACAGAGTTAGAAACATGGTACCAGAGGAAAGGAGGCAGGTCTAGCCTAAAGATACGGATTTGTCAGACATCAGCAAGCAAATTGTAGCTGAAGCCGTAGGTCTGCTTGAAACCTTTTCGTGAGAGCACGGAATGAAAAGAAGACTGGGGATAGATACTTCCTGGTGTACCCAGAACCCCAACTATGGCTTCCTGCTAAAGCCTGAAGGAAAAATCTGGACTCCTTACAATGTCCTGCAAGACTACACCATTGCTACCTCTCTGATTCTACTAATGTTGCTCACTGGGCTTTAGCTACACCGGCCTTTGTTTCTCTGACAGTAAGCAGGCTCTCCCCTCAAGCGTGCTTACAGTTCCCTCTGTGTGGCATGCTGTTTTTCCCAGAAATTTGCATCGCTTCCCCTGTCCCATTTGAGGTGCCAGTTCAAATATCACCTCCCAGAGAGGCCTCAACCCAAGCATTCAATCTAAAGTAGCTCTCCAGTCCTTCCTTGTTAGTTACTATATTTTATTTTCTTTATATTCCCTTTTCCAATGTCGTGTTAACATCAGTCTTGTACTGACTCTCAAAGCTGTGTATTAATGTCTCATGACGTTTGTAGAGCCCATTGTTGACATACAACCGTTATGAAAAATTAAAGATTGACTTTTGTAAATTTACAGTTAAATAAATTCTGTTAAAAATGAAAGTAATAAATACCCCAAGCTCAGCACTTCCTAATTATTTTACTAAATTTTACTGTTACCCACGCTTTTGAGGTTATTTATGTCCGTCAGACTGTAAGGTAGAGATGCTATGTAAGAGTGGCTACTGCACATCCCTCCCCAGCTCTCCGCCTACGGAAGTCATGTTGGTAGCTTGAAATCTGCCAGGGCTCTCCCATGGTTAAACATTCACCAGCGTGCCACTGGGAGTATGCCTAAGTGAACTTATTTGTTGTCTGTCTTTCCGTAAGGCAGCGTAAGCTCCTTTCCTACATGTTCTTTGTCTGCCTTGTTCATATTTTATTCTCAGCCTGTAGAACAGCGCCTGGTATGTTGTGGGCTCTCCCTAACTATCTGTTGAATGAATGGATCCTCCAGAGCAGTTGAAAGGGAGGTACAAGGAGAAGCTTGTTTAGCTACAAATAAGAAGGGGCTGCTGTAAAAATTAAGATAGAAAAACAATGGGGGGAACTAACTGAAATCTTACTGGGGCTCCTCTTTGTATCGTGCCCCTAGATGGGTAGCTGTGCAAATACATTTATCTTATGGTAATAAATACTTCTCCATCATGTATAGGGAAGGCCAACAAATGAGTAGTTAACACTCAACCCTAGCTGCGAGTAGGAATCACTTGGAGTACTTTTAAAAATAATTCTGATGCCCAGGTACCATTCACAGACTAAATTAATCAAGAATCTCTAGGGGGTCCTGGGCATCAGTATATTTTTTAAGTGCCCAGGTTATTTTCATGTGCAGCCTGGGTTAAAAAAACCACTGGATTAGCCACTGGGTCAGGACCAGATTGGGAGCACTTTGAGCTTTAGCCTGTGAATATTGGGGAGCCAGCAGCAGCAGGGCTCAGGAAGTGTCTTCATTCAGTAATTTATTTTTTCATTCTACGATGAGTTCCTACTAGGAACTGGGAATACAAAAACATATAAGACACACTACCTACGCAGACAAGAAGTTTACAGTCTTGCAGGGGAGATACCAATCTGGGTTTAATGAAGTATTTTAGATGCTGTCATGAAAGGCTCAGTTAAGAGTCAAAGGAGAAGATGGTCAGTTCAGTCTAGGTTGAGGGGGGAGAGTCAGGAAATGGTACACAGAGGTAAACAGAGGCTGAGGTTGATGGCTAAGTGTTTTCAGGTGAACAGCGCAGAAGGGTCTCCCTCCCTCCTCCATCTCTCTCCCTGTCTCTATATATGTACACTTATTTATAATTATTTTGTATATTCATATGTAATATAAAAATGTTTATAAACATAAATGCCTTACGTGTGTGTGTGTGTGTGTGTGTGTGTGTGTGTGTGTGTGTGTACAGAGAGAGAGAGAGAGAGAGAGAAGATCTTTGTCTCCCTAGCTGATTCCAATCCTTTTCTCTTCCCACTGCCAGGACCACTAAGTGGGAAGTCTCTAAATCCCCTTTCATCCCTAAAATTATATAATCTATAATGACAGTTTGTTACATTGTACCAAGTCTGAGTCTATACATAAACTGTAAATTCTTTTACTGATGAGAAATGGGAGATTTGAGAAGGTTCTTGAACCTTACAAGCAAGAGTATGATATGTTACAAGGACAGAGTTTTACAGTAGAATCCCAGCATTAGAAGATTTTTCCCTCATCTATTCTTTATACTTTATATATGTGGGCATAACAATGTTCGTGTTTGCATATTTCACGTTTTACATGCTACCCTTTTGATGTTGAAACTCCTCTTAAGTGCTCTTTTGTTTGTATTCTCATTATGCCTAGTCATGTTCTCAGTTTAACATTCTATATTTTTTTCTGTTACTTCAACATGTAGTCATTCAGTTGTGCTCTATTCCAAACACACCTGGATGTTGGGAAATACAAAGAGGACATGTGTTTTGTCTTCAGGATACTTGCATTTTGGGGTGACGACATGCAAACGATTGCAGTATTATGGGTACATTCCATCATAGGTGGAGGTACTGGGTAAAGACGTTCTGATGGGGAAGGCAGAGTAAGTCCCTCTGAGCAACTCAAGGAGAGTTTTCTCACAAGAGTGATGCCTGAGCAAGGATGACAGAGGAACAAAAAGGCCTTCCAGACACAGAGATGAGCTTGTGCAAAGACCCAGAAGCATGTCAACAATGAACTGTGTTGGGGAAATGCAAATCATTTGCTATCGAGTAGACCTTAGCATGGTGGCCAATGAGTCTGGAGAGGGAGGGACAGACCAGCTCATAGGGGTGCTTGTATGACATCAGAAATGGTTTAGGTCTTACTCTAAAGGAGGTGGCGAGTCACTTAAGTATTTTAAGCAGGGAACAACTGGTTCAGAATTGTGTTTTGAAAAGAGCACATGGCAACATGGAGGGTAGAGTCAAAGGGTCAAGGAGACCAGTGAGGAGGCTGCTGTGATAAAGCACACAGGCTGGACCTGTGGTTGAGGAGTAGATGTGCTATGTTCTTAAAGGCCACCTTAACAGGATCAGATGGATTGCACACAAGGGTGAGGGAGGAGGGGTCTAGAATAATGCAAAGGGATGTAGATGGCATGGTGGTTGTTGAGATTTCTGGTGTAAAACTCCAGAAAATAAGCAGGTTGTAGGATTGTGCAGAGGAGAAATGAGTTCAGTTTTAGAAAGGCCAAATGTCGGGGTGCCTGGGTGGCTCAATCAGTTAAGCATCCGACTGGGGCTCAGGTCATGATCTTACAGTTCAGGGGTTCGAACCCTGTGTCAGACTCTGTGCTGACGGCTCAGAGCCTGGAGCCTGCTTTGGATTCTAAGTCTCCCTCTCTCTCTGCCCCTCCCCTGCTCATGATCTGTCTCTCTCTCTGTCTCTTAAAAATAAATAAACCTTAGGAGGGCCAAATGTGAAGTGTTTGCAACTAAATGTGTACATCAGGAGCTCCCATGGGAGAAGAGAACCAAGCAGGAGGTTCGACCACATGTACAATTAGTATCTAAAGCCAGATGAGCAGTACAGTGGGTTGAGACAGGACAGTTGGATATGTTAACATTAAGGGAAATGGGAGGAAAGAAGAAACATTTTCATTTTGGTTGAAATTTTCCCCCAAGGTTGAGAAATCACTGGATTAGAGAAATGAGATGGATCTTCTGCTGTGACAAGAGTCATGAATTAAAAACCAAAGTAAAGGGGCGCCTGGGTGGCTCAGTCGGTTGAGCGACCGACTTTGGCTCAGGTCATGATCTCAAGGTTTGTGAGCTCAAGCCCCGCGTCGGGCTCTGTGCTGACAGCTCGGAGCCTGGAGCCTGCCTCAGATCCTGTGTCTCCCTCTCTCTCTGCCCCTCCCCCATTCATGCTCTGTCTCTGTCTCTCTCTCCCTCTCAAAAATGAATAAATGTTAAAAAAAAAAATAGGAAAATTTCAGGATGGTTGGAGGTGGGGAAAGGAGGGAGCCCTTAAGAATGGTGTCAGGCCATGGGGAGGTCTAGGAAGATGAAGACTAGAAGGAGGTCAGGGTTTAACGATTAAATTAGAAAGAAATAATAATGTGTGTTGTATTTTTTAAGAGCAACGAATAGAAAATCATTAAAAGTTCCATTAGTAATAATATGGTGGAAGAAACTGAAAGGACAAGGAAGTTTATACAGGAAGTGAAAAACTCAAGTGACAAATCAAAATGTATGTGTGTCAGGTGGGAATGTGTGTATATGCCCAGAAAAAAAGCATTCACTAGAATGGTCCCTGGGTCATTGGACAGCAGGTGATTTAAATTTTCTTCTTTGAGCTTTACTGTAACTTCCAGATTTATTTATTTATTTATTTTTGGCTTTAAAACATTTTATTAAGGGCACCTGCGTGGCTCATTCAGTTGAGTGTCTCTTGATTTTGGCTCAGGTCATGATCCCAGGGTCATGGGATCAAGCACTGCATCAGGCTCTTTGCTGAGCATGGAGCCTGCTTGGGATACATGCTCGCTCACTCTCTCGCTCGCTCGCTCTCACTCTCCCTCTCCCTCTCCCCTTCCCCCTCCCCCTTTTCCCCTTCTGCCCCTCCCCCACTTGTACACGTGCTCACATACACATGCTCTCTCAAAACTAATTTAAAAATTTTGTAATTCCCTGGTCAAAACAATTCTTTAAAAAAATAATAATAATAATACATTTTACTAGAATCTGAATTGCTATTTAAGTGCCCAAGAATCTCTAAGCATTTTTTTCTTCCCAGTAAGTTGACCGCTGCTCACACAGGTTAATGCAGGAAAGATAAATAGAAGTTCCTAGGATCTGCCCAACCCCGGATAGAGGACACCCTTTGTGTCAGCAACACGCATGGTAGCCAGGGAGAAGGCAGGTGGCTTTTTGCGTCTCATCACAGCCTGTAGATGGAAGTGGCAGGAGCCATGACCTGGGCATCCCTGCCGCCCCAACAGCACTTCTCCAAGAGGGTAAAGTTCAAACTTCAGCCCTTCAGTCACCAGAGGAAAAAAGTATTTGAAGAAGTTGGAGGACATATGGGGTGCCTTAAGTGGATTGGCACCCATGTAGTTTGACATAATTTTGAATTTCTGTTGTATGCTTGGATTTAATTGTGAATCCTAAGGAGAAGAGGCAGGCAAACCATATTTATCAATGTGATTGATAAAATTGACCAGATAAAATTGATTATAAAATTGGTCAGATTATTCTAGAGCTTAATCTCTTATCTTTACTATCTTTGTTGACTTTTCCAAAAGGGTACTGGCTTTACAAAGATAGCAAACAGACATAATAAAATATTGTGATAATTCAATATCAATTTATTGACCCCTAACTGTCATTATATTTCCTTTTTTTTAGTATAGGAGAACCTTTTATCAGTGCACTCTGCTCTTGTTCGTGTGTCCTTGAATAAAAATGTTGGCAAAGATGAAACCTTACCAGTGTAGTCCCTAATCTGCCCTAATTTATTTTACAGTATGTGCGTTACTTTCTTTCATTTTCCTTACCCACAGAAGGAGCTCAAAAAATGGGATGAATTTGAAGATATTTTAGAGGAGAGGAGGCATGTCAGTGACTTGAAGTTTGCAATGAAATGCTACACACCTCTTGTCTATAAGGGGATTACTCCTTGCAAGCCAAGTGATATTAAATACAATGTTCTCAATTCTGAAGAGGTTCATTATGTCATTAAACAGGTAGGTGATTCCCTCTTCAACCACAGCCAACAAGGAACAACATAGGTTTGAACTGTGCGGGTCCACTTAGAGTGGATTTTTTTTTTTAATAAATACAGTACAGTACTGTAAATGTATTTTCCTTATGATTTTTTTCTTATGATTTTCTTAAAAATATATTCTCTAGCTTATTGTGAGAATATAGTATGTAATACATATAACATGGAAAATACGTGTAAATCAACTGTTCATGTTATCGGTAAAGCTTCCAGTCAATAGTAGGCTATTAGTTAAGATTTTGGGGAGTCAAAAGTTACACATGGATTTTCAACCGCATGGGGGGTTGGCACCCAGCCCCCACGTTGTCCAAGGGTCAACTGTAGTCTGATAGGGAATGACAACAGTTGTATAATCCATTGAATTGACAATGAAATCTGATATGCTGACAGGAGCCCAGTATACAGGGGCACTAATTACTCATAAGGCAAATAATTTGTGTAGGGAGTTGGGAAAGCGATTTTTTTTTTTTTTTGTCCATAGACTGATGAATGGATAAAGAAGATGTGGGGTGTGTGTGTGTGTGTGTGTGTGTGCACACGCGCGCACACACACACACACACACACACACACACACACACAATGGAATACTACTCGGTGATGAAAAAGAATGAAATCTTGCCATTTGCAACAACATGGATGGAACTAGAGGGTATTGTGCTAAGTGAAGTAAGTCACTTAGAGAAAGACAAATATCTCATGATTTCACATATCTGTGGAATTTGAGAAACTCAACAGATGAGCATAGGGGAAGGGAAGGAAAAGTAAGATAAAAACAGGGAGGCAAACTGTATGAGACTCAAATACAGAGAACAAACAGCGTTGCTGGAGGGGAGGTGGGTGGGGGGATGGGTTAAATGGGTGATGGGCATTAAGGAGGGTACTTTTCAGGATGAGCACTGGGTGTCCTATGTAAGAGATGAATCACTGGCTTCTACTCCTGAAGGCAAGACTACACTGTATGTTAACTCACTTGAATTTAAATTAAAAAAAAAAAAAAAAAAAATCGATTTTTTTTTTTAATGATGCCTACCTAAAAGATGATTAGGGGTTGTCCAGGTGAAGTGGGTGAAGAAATGTTCCTAGCAGAGCAGATAACATTTTCCCCGTGGTTTTCAAATTTCACTGCACATTAAAGTTGCTGGAGAAGCTTTCAGGAATCCCTGTGCATAGATCTCACCCCCATATGAATTGAATCAGAACGTCAGAGGGAGGGAACCAGACATTCTAGTAGTAGTTTTTAGAGAAGCCCAGTCAACTCCAAAGTATAGCAAAGTTTGGGAACCACCGGCTTATTTTAAAGACTAGAGAGCATGTGTACTCACAGTACTAGAAGCAGGTCCGACCAGACCGAAGAGGGCACAGAAGGAGTAGTGGTAAGAATTGGAACTGGAGAGGGAAGCAGCGGCCACATGGTGAAGGGTTTTATAAACCATCCAGAGGAATTCGATTTTATCCTACATACAATGCAAAGTCATTGAAAGGTTTCAGGTTGGACTGTGGCCTGATCGGTTTATGTTTTAGAAGCACCATTCTGCTCCAGATGGAGAGGGGAAGTCTGGTTATGATGCTTTTGCAATACTCCCTTTGTGGGATCACACTTGCCTAGACCGGTAAGTGGTCGTAGAAACGAGTTGGACAGATTTAAGAAATTTAAGAGGTGGAGTAGACCTTATTGAATGAAGGGAAGGGCAAGAAAGACTTAGAAATGAGAGCACCATTCATTGCGATAGGGAGCCCAGGAGAAGGAATGGACTGGGGAGAAACACTAAGTTCTGTCGTGGACGTGTGATTTGAAGGCAGCAGGATAGAGGCATTCAGTGGGCAGGACTACAGCTTCCTGGCGGCCGGCCCTCCCTGTTCTGTTGCCCAAGTGCTTTTGTGCCTTGAGGTGAACCTGGAGAGATTTTTGCTTCATTGACTTTTAAGCGGAATTTAGTCAGCTGTATGGCCTCAGAAAAGCTCTTTATCTCTGCTGTTTTCTTCTGATTTGGATGTATGACCTGTGCTCCTAATCCTTTTGTTTTCATCTCTCTGTCATGATCTGTCTTGAAGAAACAATTAGTCTTCTCTGATTGGTCCTATTCCATCAGCGGCATGAAGTTTCCTCGTCAATTAGAAGCCAAAGACAGTGGTTCTCAATACCGGCTCTTTGATAGAACTTTTACAGAAAGTTAACTGTTATTATCCACCAGTATATACACTCCATGAAGGCAAAAATTTTATCTCCCTTAATAAAAATTTTTTTTTTTTTTTTTTTTTTTAGCTGTATTCCTAGTGCCTAGCACATAGTACACATTCAGTAAATATTTCTTGAATGAATGAATAAAAAAATATGTTTTGGTCCTGTCCACAGAGATTCTGATTTAATGACTCTGGAATAGGACCCAGGCATCTCTTTCTTCTTCTTCTTCTTTTTCATCTTCTTTTTAAAAGCTTCCCAAGTAGGAGTGCCTAGGTGGCTCAATTGGTTAAGCATCCGACTTCAGCTCGGGTCATAATCTCACGGCTTATGAGTTTCAGCCCCGTGTCAGGCTCTGTGCTGACAGCTCAGAGCCTGGAGCCTGCTTCAGATTCTGTGTCTACATCTCTCTGCCCCTCCCCCGCTCGTGGTCGGTCTCTTTGTCAATAAACAAACATTTAAAAAGTTAATAAAAGCTCCCCAAATAATTCTAGTGCATAGCCAGATCAAGCATGACTGACCCAAGCCAGTGTTTCTCAAACTTGGCTGTGCTACTGAGAAAAAAATCCCATAATGTAGGTAGATTGGAATTGTTATAACTCAAGATTATGTAACCCAACTGGGCCCTCTGTAATTCTTGTTACTCAGGAATTCTTTGTTTCCCCAGTGAAGTGTCTTCCATTCTCCAAAATGACAGTGTCAGTGTCCGTCCCATTCTTTCTGAGCCTCCCATCTCCCCCCCCTTACCCTCAACATGAGATTTTTCTTCTTGCTTCACAAAAAAATGTAAACCATTATATGACCACTCTCAACTTCCTGTGATCAAGCTACTAACTGACCTGCATCTGATACCCATAATTCTCCTCTTCCTTCCTGTTCAGAGGGGACAGGGAGCCCTTTCTCCTGTTGGGAGTTCAGTCCCTTCCCTACTCCTTTGCTCTGAACTTGACTTGCTCCCTCCTCCCCCGGGACTTTGTTTGCTCGATTGTCCTCCCAAATGTCTTTAACTTTTTACTGTTCTTTACTGCTTTACATCCTCACTGAACATGCTTAATTGTCTTCCAGCTTAAATCAGCCTTTGAGCACATTTGTTCCCCCTTATGACTCAGCACTTCCTTTCCCTGTTGTATTCTACTCTTAGAAGCAGCTGGCTGTTTTCTGTACTTTCTCACCCTTTGTGTATACGCAGCTCCAGCTCACTGGAATCTGGTTTCCAACCCGCTGTAATTAATCTCTCCAGGATTGCAAATAATGACTTCCTTCCTTATGGCTAAAATCAACCTTGTTGAAATCCTTCGCAGTCTTTGGCACACTCTCCCTCTTTTTTTTTTTTTTAGAAGTTTTTAGGTTCTCTCTACACCCAGCATGGGACCCAAACTCACAGCCCCGAGATCAAGAATCCCATAATCCGGGGCGCCTGGGAGGCTCAGTCAGTTAGGCGTTCAACTCTTGATTTTGGCTCAGGTCATGATCTCATGGTTCGTGAGATGGAGCCCCACATCAGGCTCTGCGCTGACAGTGCAGAACCTGCTTGGGATTCTTTCCCCCCTCTCTCGCTGCTCCACTCACACTGGCTCACTCACTCTCTCAAAAATAAATAAACTAAAAAAAAAAAAAAAAAAAAAAACCACATGCACCTCTGAGTCAGCCAGGCATCCCCCCCTCCCACCAAATCTTCTTGATTTCCTCCGTTGATGTGCTTCTTTTCCTTCGCTTGTGTCTTTAAATGCTGCTGTTCCTCAACTTCTTGTTCTAACTCACTCTCTGAGCAGTTTTATTTATTGCCAGAATTATAAGTATCTTCCTTATACTTATGTTGTTATGTTAGTAATATGTTATAAACAACAGTATGTAATAAACAATAATTACTATCTGTTGCTTCAGTCCAGATCTCTTTTGAGACACATATTTTGATGTCTATTGGAATACCTACTTGGAAAATCCAAAAACCTCTCAAATTCAGGATGTCTGAATCAAACTCTCTTACCCTCCCACCCCTACTGCTGTACCACGCACACCCCCCTCCCCCTGTTTTCTGTACTCCAAGAACAACCCTGCCGTGTGCCTGCTGCTCAAACCGCAAATCTGGATGCCGTCTTCAGCTTCCTGCTTTCCCTTCATCCTAGTCAGTCACTAGGAGCGGCTCCTGTGCTCCCCTTGATAGCTCTTGTCTGTTTCTTTCCATCTCTGCTGCCGCTTCTCCAACTCAGGCTGTCTTTGGCTCACAGGAATGCAAGAGCTGCCATCAAAGTGCTTTTAGCCGAGGAAAGATGAGATTACTGCTGCATCGAAGGGACCACTCAGGTTTGTGGTGCGGAGAGCAGACTGAAGAGGGACAGCACCCGGACAAGGACTTACAGAGCTATTGCTCATCTTTTAATCTCCTCTGAGGTTTCCAGGAAGAGGGTGCTGGAAGGACAGACATACCTGTTGAGCAAATGAGAAGCCCAGGTGCACAGAATAAGGGATCAGGTCATTCTCTGCTTCCGTGCTTTCGTCCAGTTTTGGAGAAGGCATTCCTTCTGAATCGACCAGCCTGCTCCCCTGAATGCCTCATGTGTGTAATTCTTTCAGAACCCCGGGGGTCATGTCCTTCCTACTCTTCAGCCTTCTCTACCGGCCCAGCTGGCATAAGCACTTCCTGGCTGGGGGAGGGCCCTCTCGGCCACGTCTCTCTTTCCCTTCTCGGCTCAGCTCCTCAAAGGTATAGTCTGTCCTTCCCCATTCACGCCCACTTTTAGCAGGCCATGCACCTCATCCGGTAAAGGTCACTGTGGATCTCCAAGGGACCCGATCCCAGGGGCCGTTTTAGTCTTCGCTGTATCTTAACTGTGTCCGTTTTTGTTGGGCAGTCTCCTGCAGGACCTCTCTTGACGTTGATGGTGCAACCCGGTGTAGTTCTCTGAATATCTCCCTTGTTAATCTCTTTACAGGTTCTTCCATCCACCAGGCAAGTGTTTCTCAAGGTCAAACCCTCAGCCTCCTTTATCCCTGCAGCCTCCCTGATCCATTTTGTCCATTGTCTTCATTTCCATTTTCACCTGTAGTCTGGTGATGTCCAGACAGGATCTCTAGCCTTGGCTAGATTATCAGGGTTCAGACTTTTATCTCTGACTGTCCTGTTCCCTGAAGGTCATCTAATTTGTATGTCTCACAAACCCCTCAGAATCAGTATCCCCGCCTTCTCAACCCCTGCACCACACTGCCTTCTACCCTTGGTCTGTCTCCCCCATCTCAGGACCGCCCCACCATCCGTTCTGTTGCCCAGAAGAACTGAGCATCTCTCTGCCCTTCGCCTTCTCTTCAGCACCTTTTATTACCTTTGTTTGGGCCTTTTCTGTCTCTGGCCTCAACTATTTTGATAGTTCTTCAAATGGACTCCCTTTCCTAGGCTTGTTTCCTGAAATCCATCCTTACCACTAATCCACTGATTCCTCTGTTTCCCTGGAAAAGATAAAATACGGAGCTAGGTAGAGGATAATTATCCATTTGTGAAGGTACCAAATGCCACTGAACTGTTGATTTTGAAATGGCTAATTTTAGGCTATATTAATTTCACCTCATTGTTTTTTAAAAAAAAACATGTAAATTAGGAAGCTGGGACTCCAGCATTCTACCCTCTGGTATTCTGGACCTCATCCTAAAGCAGAACATTCTCCTCTGCAAAGGATAATTATTATTTATCACATAGACTCCACACTTGTTTCCAACATGCTTGTTTAGGGGGAAGTAAAAAGAGTCAGATTAGGATTCCTTAAGGGCAGAAACGGACTTGTTCATCTCCAGGCCTAGCACACGCCCATATTTGTTCTCTTTACAAGAAGATGTGGTGTGCCATATGAATAAAGAGAGTTCCATTGTGAGGTCATTGATTTCACTAGTTACCCTTTGATACTTGGGAGAGTTTTGTCCCAGTGACCTCTATATCTGAATAGTTTAAACGGTTATTGTGATGTAATCTGGCATTTTTACCTTGTATATTACCCTGTAATAGCATTGAGCAAGCAGATGGAGTGCTGCAACATTCTAGGGAAATAAATTCCTAAATATGTATTCTAGGACACTAATACACGGGCAACAACTTATTTTAGAGAATTTGGTTGTAAGCTTATTAAATCAAATGAAAGGTGAGAGGTTTTCTTTAGTCTAAAATACTATCCTTGAAAGACGATTCTCTTTGAATTTCTAGTCTGTGAGGTTATCTAAATAGGATCATTTATCTACTGTGGTTATATTGGAAAATAAATGATGTCAATTTAAATGAAGAAGAGAGCGTAGCATTTTTGAGCTATATAGTATTGGTCCATTTGGAACTAGTCATACTGGCTTGAGGGAATACAGTTCTGGCTTCTTTCCTTCAGAAACGTCTCCCTGCTTTTCCTTTTCCCTCTAGCTTTCCAAGGAATCCCTTCAATCCGTCGATGTCCTCCAAGAGGAAGTTTGTGAGATCTTGGATGAAATGAGCCACAAACTGCGTCTGGGAGCCATCCGTTTTTTTGCCTTTGTGCTGAGCAAAATATTTAAACAAATTTTCTCAAAAGTGTGTGTAAATGAAGAAGGTATTCAGAAAGTGAGTATCGCTGGTTAAAAAACAACCTCTTCTTCTACCCCTCATGATACAATCAACGCAGAGACATCTCACTCTGCACCAAATGAGCAGGCCCTTGGCATCGGGCATCCAGGCTGGCCGGAAGAGGCTCTGCCTCTCTGGAGGGTGATGTTTGTCACTTTCAGATCTTCAGACTTGAGATTAAGTTACTTAGTCAGGTAATACTTACAGGCTAACCTAATGTCAGATGTCCACAAAGTTATAGAAGTAATGCTTGAGAATTTCTGTACGCGGTTCACCTGGATTCCCCTCCAACATTTCCTTCATCCTTTTCCTCAGTTCTCCAGTGTGTTTTTCCCATAAGCGGTTAGGATACTCCCATCTGGCGCAATTATCAAAATAAGCAAACTGACATTTAACGCTAGAGTACAGACCTCATTCATGATCCACCAGTCGTCCCGGTTATGTCCTGTACAGCAAAAGAAAATCCTCTATCACGCGTCACGTTCAGCTTTCTTATCTCTGTAGACCCTTTTAAGTTAGAACAATAACTCAGCCTTTGTTTGTGTTTCATATTAGTTTTGGAAATAAAACCCAAAAAACAAAACCAGACCTGTTTTATAGCTTGCCTTGATTTGGATTCGAGTGATGTTTTCTCAGTGGGAAAACATTGTGTCCTTCTCAGTGCAGCAGGTCAGGAACACGGCGATGTGCACTTTCAGCATTTGGTTAAGGTGGTATTTCCCTTTGTAATGAGTAAGTATCTTGTGGAGAGATGCTTCAAGAGGGGTCCGCCTTACTTCCTCCATTAGTTTTTACATTGACTGATGATTTTTGCCTGAACCAGTTATTACTCTAATGATTGCCAAATGGTGATTTTTCTAATTCTATCACTGTTGTTAACAGCCTGCTTTCCTCTGAAAGGAAGAGCTTTTCCTATTTTTATTCATTTATGTTTTTTAATATCGTTTTTCCTCTTACCAAGAAGCTCTCACCTTCATTGACCTGCCTGTACATGTCTTTTAAGGTTTTGTTTTATTCAGTCATTTACTTTCAAGTATTTCTTCTTTTTTCCTCCTCTGACTATTTTCTAGATTGCTGACTTACTCTCTGGATCTCTGTCAAAGAATGCTTGATAAAGCCATCCAGAGACGGGCACCTGGGTGGCTCAGTTGGTTGAGTACCCACTTCGGTTCAGGTCATGATTTCACAGTTTGTGGGTTCGAGCCCTGCGTCAGGCAGTCTCTGTGCTGACAGCTTGGAGCCTGGAGCCTGCTTCGGATTCTGTGTCTCCCTCAGTTTTTGCCCCTCCCCTGCTCGTGGTCTGTCTCTCTCTGTCTCTCAAAAATAAATAAACCTTAAAAAAAAAAAAAAAAAGCCATCCAGAGAATCTTGACTGGTGTTGACTGGCCATGTCTTCTTTTTTTTTTTTTTTTTTTTTTAATTTTTTAACATGTATTTATTTTTGAGAGACAGAGAGAGACAGAACGTGAGCAGGAGAGGGGCAGAGAGAGAGGGAGACACAGAATCCGAAGCGGCCTCGAGGCTGAGCTGTCAGCACAGAGCCCGATGTGGGGCTCGAACTCACAAACCGTGAGATCGTGACCTGAGCCAAAGTCAGATGCTTAACCGACTGAGCCACCCAGGCGCCCCTGGCCATGTCTTCTTAACTGATCACACATTACCTTGCCTTGGCGAATTATAGTTAGATTAAAAAAGAAAAGAAAAGAAAAGCAGATAACACACTGATACAGTGAATGTATTTGAGGTATCTTGACAGCCTACAAATTATATCTGGAGGCTCAAATTCCTTCTAACTGCAGGGCTCCCATTCTTCCTGCAGCCAGTCCAGTGTATAGAGAAATACCGTACCTCTCATTTATCCTGCTAATTCAGATTTGTTTTCATTAGTCTACCCGAGAGAAGCTTTGTTCCCTCTTATACACACAATCAGTCTAGCACAGTGGGTAACAGCTGACCTTTTTTTTTTTTTTTTAAGTTTATTTTTGAGAGAGAGCGCACCCGTGTGAGTGGGGTAGGAGCGGAGAGGGGGGCGGAGGGAGAATCCCAAGCAGGCTTTACACTGTCAGCACGGAGCCCAACCCAGGGCTCATTCTTCCCAAAGGAGAGCTCATGACCTGAGCTGAAATCAAGCGTCAGACACTTAACCAGCCGAGCCTCCCAGGTGCCCTGACAGCTAGCTGACTTTTTAACTGAGATTGATTTCAGTTGTATCCCCAGCCCGGCCATCGATCAGATGCATCACCACGTCGCAAATGAGGAACCTAATGCTTAGGCCTTCTTTACAAATATGTGGAATTAAACAATGCGTGTAAAATGCTTCATATGTGAAATGCTTAATGTGGTGCCCCGCTGATATGTTAGTGTTTATCACTATTATTATTATTTTCTATGCAATTTACATTTTTAATGTTCTTGCATCATGTGTGCTTATTTCTGTAAAACTCTGAAATGTAGTAGAGGATTCTGTATGTAGCAGGGGAGCCAGAAAGACCCTGTTATCCTTAGTGTTCCCTCTGTACGTATACACATTCTTCCTGTTCTGATGTGGCATGTGATTTTAATAATATGAAAACTGAAATGATTCAAAAGGGAACATTTGTTTTAAAGCTACAGCGAGCTATCCAGGAGCACCCGGTTGTTCTGCTGCCCAGTCATCGAAGTTACATTGACTTCCTGATGTTGTCTTTTCTCTTATACAACTATGATTTACCTGTACCAGTCATAGCGGCAGGAATGGGTATGTATTGTTTCCCCGTTTTTTATTTTAATTACAAAAATAAAAAATACTCACCAAAGCGATTTTAACAGTTCCTGAGGTGTTTGAAGATGATGGTGAAAATACCCTGTCCCTTCTTCCGTTTCAATTTTACATATTTTTATATGAGTGTTTTTACTTCTGTAGGACTGATTCCCAAAAGCAGGATTGCTAAAGCAAATAATTGTTTATCACCTCCCTTTTGAGGTAGCCAGGAAAGTTGGGATTCAAGAATACACCTTGGTTAATAAATGCAGTAAACAGTAAGGTAAAAACAGCCAGGGACCTAAGTACTTTAAAAGCATTTTCATCTGTACGGACATGTGAGGGAGTTATTTGAAAAGTAAGGAAAATGGAAAGAAGGAGGGTTTTTAAACTGATGATAGAACTCTTCCTCTCATCCGGGACTTGGTGGATTTATTCTGTGCCACTCAGAGAAGGCTGGGTAAAAAAAGAAAGGTGGATAACAAAAAGAAAAAGAAAGTCGCTCTGGACAGCTGTCCAGCATGGACCACATGTGCTGGTCTGTCGTCCAGGTCGGCAGCAGTGCTAACTGAAGACCTCGGCGTGATGACATCATCGAGCTGGCCACTTGCCCACTGAGGCCACGGTCTCTGGTGGGTCTGGCCGTAAACGCCAAGGCGCCCGGTGGCCCTCGAGGTAGCCTCCCAGCTGGCCTGCCCACACGGCCCCTCCTCTCCCATCAGACTGTTAGAGGTCCTTAACGGATGTTCATGTCGGGAAGTGTAATTTTTTTTTTTTAATTTTTTTTTAATGTTTATTTTTCGAGAGAGAGAGAGAAAGAGAGAGACAGAGCTCAAGAGGGGAAGGGCCAGAGAAAGAAGGAGACACAGAATCCAAAGCAGGCTCCAGGCTCTGAGCTGTCAGCAGAGCCCGATCGATGCGGGGCTCGAACTCATGAACCGCGAGATCATGACCTGGGCCGAAGTCAGCTGCTTAACCGACTGAGCCACCCAGGTGCCCCGGGAAGTGTAATTATTAATATCACAGGGGTGTTTTCCACACACGAAATCTTTCTTCATAGAATGTGAGTTGAGGTATTTATGGAAAGTTCCAAGACCTGCAAAAAAAGGTGATCCCCTTCTGTATTTATTTCCTAGACTTCCTCGGAATGAAAATGGTCAGTGAGCTGCTGCGGATGTCGGGTGCCTTTTTCATGCGACGCACCTTTGGTGGCAATAAACTTTACTGGGCCGTGTTCTCTGAATACGTGAAAACCATGCTACGGGTAAATGCAGATAACTCCCGAGTACTTTCAAGCTGTATTTCCTTTTCACTCGAGCTTGCTGGAGGAGCTTAAATTCTTCCTTCCCGAACGCTCAGCCACTCGTCCCGCTGCAGGAACGCATATGACCTCCGCAGCCTGTGTGACCTGCGGCCCTCTTGCCCGTGCTTTGCCCCTGCGCCCTGCGCGTGCACAGTGTTGGTTCCAAAGGCTGGACGTGGGGGGTTGGGAGCCTGGGGGAAGGAATCTAAAGAAGGGCACCTGTTGGGATGAGCATTGGGTGGTTGTATGGAGGCAATCTGACGATAAATTATATTTAATAATTATGTTTAATAATTATATTTTTAAATTATATTTAATAATATGTATTACATATATATATAATATATAAATAAATGGTTTGGGTATGGGGGAAAAAGCATTTCTCACTCTGAGACTAGGCAATGGGTTTTGTGTTTTGTTTTGTTTGTTTCTGTTTTCTCTTTAAAGAATGGTTATGCTCCTGTTGAATTTTTCCTCGAAGGGACAAGAAGTCGCTCTGCCAAGACACTGACTCCAAAATTTGGTAGGTCCTTTAGAGATTGAAGGAAGAATACAAATCCAGAAGATGTGGTGTGGTCACAGCTACTGGATACAGCTTGGCACTTTTTTTTTTTTTTTTTTGGCAAGATATTCTTTCTTTTTTAAGCCTAACTGTTTAAGTTGTAACTGTTTCTATTTATGGGCTTAGTATCTATTGTGCACTTCAGGGTCTTCCTGTTTGTGTCCCCTTGTTTACTCCACTTTTCAATACATCTGGAAACCCTTTCTCCCTGTTTACAGGTCTTCTGAATATTGTGATGGAACCATTTTTTAAAAGAGAAGTTTTTGATACGTACCTTGTTCCAATTAGCATCAGTTACGACAAGATATTGGAAGAAACTCTTTATGCGTATGAGCTCCTGGGGGTGCCTAAGCCAAAGGAGTCCACAACTGTGCGTAAATTTAGGACAACCAAACTTTTATTTGAATCTGATTTTACTTGAATTCAGAGAAAATGCTCATTTATACACCAACTCCTTTCTGAACTTACTCCTGTTTATCCCCATTTCCCCTGTCGTGACGCCACTAGGGATTGTTGAAAGCCAGGAAGATTCTCTCTGAAAATTTTGGAAATATCCACGTGTACTTCGGAGACCCTGTGTCACTTCGATCTCTGGCAGCTGGAAGGATGAGTCGGAGCCCGTATAACTTGATTCCAAGGTGCAAGACCTGTGTTTTCATAACCGACATGGAGATTAGGATGAAAATCTGGAAGGGTAGTTGTGATTCTTGAGTTGACCCCTTCTAGGACTGCAACTTAGTTATCCGAGATGACGTATCAGAGGAGCAGAAAGCTTCAATTAAAGAATTACATTTGCAGGATACGTGTGTCAAATAGGCAAGGTCAGTGCTCATTCTCAGGGGAGCCAGTGCCCTACCGCCTACGCTACACCACAGCGTGCAGTGCGCCGCCCGTACTGCGTGTGTGGGAATCGTTGAGCACTATTGGTAGGTCGGCCAAAGTGTGGTTAATCCTAGAAAGGATTATGTGGTCAGAATGAATGGCGGTGAGTCCCAGTCCTCAAGAAGGTTATAGTTTTGGGGCGCCCTTGTGGCTCAGTTGGTAGAGCACGCTACTCTGGATTTTGGCTCAGATCGTGGTCCCTGGGCCGTGGGATCAAGCCCCACCGTCGGGCTCTGCGCTGAGCGTGGAGCCTGCTTGGCATTCTCTCTCTGTCCTTCCTCCTTCCCCTCTGCCCCTCTCCCTCACTCTCGCATGCTCTCCCTCCCTCTCTCTCTCTCTCTCAAGTAATTTTTTAAAAACAGGTTATCGTTTCATGGGCACAGAAATGTATTAGGTTCTTTCAGGATGCAGGTGCAGATACACCTTTGGATTTTCTTAATTTAGAGAAATACACATGGGGAAGTAAGGAGACAGAAACCACCTGCTCAGACAGGCTTCACACGACCACATCATCGTTCATCATTCATCCGTAGCGCCAGTGGTTCCGCGGCAGCTGGAGTGCCTCACTGGCGGCCTTGCCGGCGATCAAGCAGATGGTAGCTTTATGCTGCCACAGGCTCCACGCTATAGATCTCGGATACGTAGGACGGGGTGCCCTCACTGGCTCCAGCTTTCCCATTAAGCCACCTTACGGTGTGGACACTCTCAGGTCCTGTGCCTGTCCCTGCTTCAGCCTGTTCTGTATCGGTTCCTGATATCGGATACCAGGTTTGGTGATCCATGCCTGAAGAATCTGTCAGGCGAGGATCGTGAGCTGCTCAGCAGAGCAGCGTAGCAGTCAGGCAAGCTGTGTGGCCCATCCAGGGCGGGCACGAGCAGTTACCACGTAAGCTGGTGTGTTCTGTGAGAGAGGTGTTCAAAGGCAGCGAGCGAATTCCGAGAGGGCAGAGTAGTTCAGGCCCCTGGTTTCACAGAGGAAGTGATACATCCTAGTTATAAAGCAACAGAAGTTGTTTTGCCTGGAACCAGGAAGAATAGGACTGTGTCCCCCTGAGTGTATTTTATCACCTCTCAAGAGCATACCGTAGAGACAGAGGGACAGACGACACCACAGTAAGTATATTCTTGCACTGTGACCTGAGAAAATTCGGTTGGCAGAAAGAATGAGAAGCCTTCTAAAGGGTCTGCCTTCTCCCGTTCCCCTCCCTCACCATTCACATCAGTGTGGGTAGCAAAACTGTAATTTGTTGTTCCCTGTTCTTCCTTATAGGTATATCCCTCAGAAACAGTCAGAGGACATGCATGCCTTTGTCACTGAAGTTGCCTATAAAATGCAGCTTCTGCAAATTCAAAACCTGGTTCTGAGCCCGTGGGCCCTCATGGCTGCTGTTCTGCTTCAGAACCAGCCTTCCATGGACTTTGACGCTCTGGTGGAGAAGACTTTATGGCTGAAAAGCTTAACCCAGGCCTTCGGGGGGTTTCTCACCTGGCCCGGTACGTATGTGAGATGTATGTGAGGAGCGTGCTTGCTTTTTGTGTCTTAATTTGGAAAAGCTGTCACCTAGACATGAAACACCTACACAGGACACCGAGCAAAGCTTTGCTCAGAGAGAAAGAAAACTTTTTTTTGAAGTTTATTTATTTATTTTGAGAGCGAGAGAGAGCAAGCAGGGGAGGGGCAGAGAGGGGGAGAGAGAGAGAATCTCAAGCCGGCTCCACAGGCTCAGCACAGAGCCCTGTGAGGGACTTGAACTCACAAACTGTGAGATCATGACCTGAGCCGAATCAAGAGTCGATGCTTAACTGACTGAGCCACCCAGGCGCCCCAGACAGAAAGAAAACGTCATTTGTTTTTATCACTGGGGGACACTGAATACAGTATGTTGATTATTTGAGAACAATTGCCTACGTGTCACTTCTTCCTATGAGACTCTGGGTATGTCAATTAAAATGCTGCCTCCTTGGCACCTAGCAGGGTGGAGAGTGGATGAATCTCCTTTCCTCCGCATATTCCTCCCTCTGTACCCACTTCTTGTTATTTTTATTTTTTCACAGTTTTTTGGTTTTTTTTTTTTTTTACTAAAATACAGTTAGCGTCACGTGTTTTGTTTCAGGTGTGCAGCCTTGATTGGACAGTTCTACGCATTACTCACTGCTCACTGTCGTCGGTGTAATACACCCACCTCGTTTTAAACCACATTAGATTTGCAGCCCATTCGCTTCACCCCATCAAAAGGACCAAAGGGCCAGTCTTGTGGACCTTTACACGATTCTCGGAAAAATACAACTTTGTAAAGCCCTCATTGGCGTTATAAATACTTCGCCGGGAGTTTGGGACGTGTGTGCCAAGTGTTAGCTTTAGCTGTTTCCAATCTCTTTGAGTCAAAATTGCAGAGACCACAGTTGGAAATGTAATCCGTTCATAGCTCCCCACTGGTCACTCATTAAACCTCTTGAGTGCCTGGTGGGTGCTGGGAACTACCCAGAGGCCGGAGAGAACAAGGCGTAACCCCTGTGTGGGACGTCCTCCTGGCGTGTGGAAGGCAGGGGCGGGGCATCTAGTGAAGTGGGGCCAGCGAAACACACACAAAGAACTTCGAATGGACCGCAGAGCATTGCTGAGACCCCTGTGTAGGGAAGGGCCACGCTCGGGGAAGGTTTCATAGAAATGACTTTTGAACCGATCTTGATGGAAAAGCAGGAGCCATTCTGGAAGACGAGCGGGCAAGGGATTGCTAACGTAGGGATTGGGAAACGTGAAATGGTGCAATAGCACCGCATCACGGTGATGCTGGCCTGCAGGTGGGTGGGTGAGCTTACAGTGTTGGCTCTGGGAGACGGATGATGGAAGGTAAAGATGTGGACACAGGCTGGATTAGCTGGGCCTGCTGCCTGGGGGATCTGGACTGGAAGCTGTAGTTTACGGGACTCAGTCGCAGATTTTTTTTTAAGTTTATTTATTTTTTTATGTTTATTTATTTTGGAGAGAGAGAACGTGGGAAAGGGGCAGAGAGAGAGAGGGAGACAGGATCGGAAGCAAGCTCTGTGCTGACAGCAGAGAGCCGAATGTGGGGCTCAAGCTCACGAACCGTGAGATATCACCTGAGCCGAAATCGGACACTTAACTGACTAAGCTACCTGGTCGCCCCTTAATTTATTTTTGAGAGAGAGAGAGAGAGAGAGAGAGAATCCCAAGCAGACTCCATGCTGTCAGCACAGAGCGCGATGTAGGGCTTGAACCCACGAACCGTGAGATCACGACCTGAGCTGAAATCAAGAGCTGGGCACTTAACCAACTGAGCCACCCAGGCACCCCACAGTCGAGGATTTTAAGCAGGGAAACATGACTGCAACAACTGTAGAAAACAACCAGTGTCCGTTTTCAAGCTGGGCCACACGAATGGGAAGGGAAGGAGCCTGAACAAGGCAATGGCAGAGCTGAGGTGGGGCTATGAGGTGTTTAGGCAGAACTGCCAGCAGAAGTGGCCATCGCCTTGAATAGTGGTCACCAGCAGAGAAACAAAGATGAGTCAGACACATGTTCCCATGGGCGGCAAAGGACACGTTGAGTGTGATTCAGGTAGAAAATCATGAGAAAAGCGTAGGTAAAGTGCTGACTCCTACTTGGCCCAGGAGCATGTGAAAACCTAGGCACCTGTCTTCCCAAGCGTTTTTGTTTTCTCAAGATGGAAGAAGTAGGCCAGTCTGTAGCTAAGAGTATCTATTCAGCAACTGAAATAATTTAAGTTATTATAGAGTGAGAGTCTGTTGGTATCTAAGTAACAGTAATAGAGTGATTAAATATGATTTCTGATTCAGAATGTGGTATATCCGTTCAGTTCCTTTTTTCTTCCTTACTCCACTTACCACGTATTCCTAAGCATTCTCCTATCAAGAGGTCTTCATGATACATGTATCATTATGCCATGTCACATTATATCATGTATATAACATTACCATATGTCATTACCTTGAGCAAGCGGAGACAAGACATGTGCATCTAGAGCAATGTGATCGAGTCCAGAAGGAAACCCCACACCCCTCAGTTGTCTCTTCTGCAAAGCATTAGCAGACTTTGCCCAGCTTGACCAGTGTGCCTGGCTACATACCCGGCAACCAGCTCTTTGGCTCAGGGAAACAGTAAAATGATTTCCCTTGCCAAGAATGTTGGTTAAGTATCACCATCTCTTCCTTACGCTTCTGTAATACTAACTTCTTGGCCTTCTCTAGGCCAGCATAGTGTCAGGTGGTAAGTTACCAGCATCTGTTAGGGGCTCAGTTCTTTACTTTTCTCCGATGTGAAAAAACCAGAAAACCTCCTCAGTGTCCGCCTGTGCCCAGGGAAGCCTGGTGCTAGGGGAGTGCCTCTGGGATTACCCTTTGTTCACCAGCAAAGTTGCAAAGCAATATTCTTGCCGTCTTGGAATTAATTGGTCTAAGCAAGGGGTGTGTGTGTGTGTGTTTGTGTGTGTGTGTGAAGTATGTTTTCATCATGAGCCTTCTTATCTTAGTATTTTGTGAATTCACATGCATGTGATTTTCTTATCCTGTAACTTGCTATTTACAAAACTCTGGATACCCTTGGTTCCTGAGGAAGTGTTGGTTTTTAGACTGGGAATTGGTATGCATTTCAGAGTGGCTGACAATTTAGGGGTAGATAAGAAAGTGCATTAAATGTCCTCAGAGTTTATACTGCTTTTAGAAAATACCCTTGGGGCGCCTGGGTGGCCCAGTCGGTTAAGCGTCCGACTTCGGCTCAGGTCACGATCTCACTGTCTGTGGGTTCGGGCCCCACGTCAGGCTCTGTGCTGACGGCTCAGAGCCTGGATCCTGTTTCGGATTCTGTGTCTCCCTCTCTCTGACCCTCCCCCGTTCATGCTCTGTCTCTCTCTGTCTCAAAAATAAGTAAATGTTAAAAAAAAAAAAATTTTTTTTTTTTAAAAGAAAATACCCTTCACAGGGGCACCTGGCTGGCTCAGTGGGAACAGCATGTGACACTTGATCTCAGGATTGTGAGTTTGAGCCCCACGTTGGGCATAGAGATTACTTAAAAAAGAAAGAAAGAAATAGGTATCTTTCACGTAGGGTATCATTACTTCAGTTGGTAGAGCCTAAAACCAGAACCTGGCGCTTGAAAGTAAATCTGTCAGGTCCCTAGCGTTGATGCATACACTAGCCTAAGACTCCCATCAGGGAACCCATCCCATTTCTTTGCTGCCTGAACGCATTGTCTTTGTGTGTAGATAATGAAGCTGCTGAAGAAGTTATCCAGTCCAACCTTCTTCTGCATTCCAACATCGCCAGCCTTGTCAAAGACCAGGTGGTTCTGAATGTGAACGTGAACTCCAGAGACTCAGAAGTGGTCCATGGGCTTCTCTTCCAGCATATCACTCTCCTCATGTGCTCAGCTTACAGGAACCAGTTGCTCAACATTTTTGTCCGCCCTTCCTTAGTAGCCATGGCACTGCACATGACACCCGGGTTGCGGAAAGGTAACTTTCGGGAATGTGGTCTTGAACTTTAGAAGAGACCTGGCCGTTCAGCTCCGTATATAGGGAGCAGCATTTGAAGCCTTATCACGCTCAGCCACATGTGTGCGTCCCAGACACCATCAAAGAAGGGGCCCTGTGTACTCGGAAGAAGCTAGGCTTGTTCCCTAAATACATGGCCATCCACTTAACATTTGGGAGTTGAAAGGGGCCTAAGAAATCATTTAACCTGAACCTCTCCATTTATAAGTAAGGGAAGTGAGGCCTGGAAAGGTACCTAATCACCTAAGGAAGGTTCTGGGACTAGAGCACGGCTGTCCTTGTCCCGGTCAGCATGGGCACAACAATCCAGCAGTGCAGGAGTGCTTACTAGATACCCAGTAGCGTCCCAGTGGCGATGAGGAGTGTAAACAATGAATAAAACCGTTTTTGTCCACCGGAACCTGTAGTTGAGGTCAGGGGTTTTCTACCCAGGCTATGCTGGAATTACTAAGGGCGAGCCCCGTTCTGATTCAGTGGGTCTGGAGTGTGGCCCACACATTGCTGTGCTTGTTTTTGTTTTTCAAAGCTCCAAAGATAGAATTATCGGTGCCAACCACAGACCTTTAGCATTGGAATGAACCTCACAGGTCCTGTGTCCATGCCCTCATTTTGTGGATGGGGAAATGGCCCTGGAGAGAAGTCAGACAATTTAGTTCAAGACCCAGGAAACTCAAATCTTGATCTGAGGTTTCTTACATTGAAATTCATTCACAACCAAGGATCACATGCATGGTCTTCTAGAGTGTTGGAGACACCCTGAAATTGGAGGCAACATTTCCTGTCCATGCGTCTGTATATTCTTCTAATGAGAAGTTCATAGCATGTGTCAGAAAAATGAAGAAGGCTCTGTGGTTGATGGGCGAGGTAGACCTAAGTGTCTGAAGAATCCGTGTTTTCTGCTGTGTGCTGATGTCTTCTAGTGCTAAAGATACAGTAAAGACAGCAGGAAATATGAATAGAGAAGGGACTGAAGTAAGTCATTGCTTTCCTTCTCTACTAAGGAACCATGGGCAGGGGAAAGTGAAAGACCCTAGCATCCAAGAAATGTGGCATCTTGTTCGTCACCAAACTGACTGGTTTGAGGCCTAGTTGTGATTAAGATTCAATATTGAAACTGCTAAACTATAGTTTGTTCTGTACGTAAAATTTGGATTGGTTATAGCTTCCTTTGGGGGCCCTAATTCTTGTCCCTGCCTTTGAATAACATGCCTTTGAAGCAGTGCATTTTGGAAAGTCAAGGACTTCTTGGTACTCCCTTCAAAAGCCGTGTTGTAATTTGATGTAATTAATTTATTTCCAGAGGATGTCTACAGTTGCTTTCGCTTCCTGGTCAGTGTTTTTTCAGATGAGTTCATCTTCCTTCCAGGAAACACAGTCAAGGTAAATCCTTACAGCCGAAGAGCCCAACTGTGTTTGCAGTGTGAGTTCTGGAAATGGTAGGCTTGCATCCACGAGTGTGACCTCCCTTTCTCCAAGGCTTCATTTGGCAGAATTAAAGAGACACTTGGACACTCACAGCTCAGCAAGCTCTGTTTTGGTTCTTGGTCAAGTTTAGTCAGTAATGTAGGGCTTATTCGGTGAGAAGGGAGTCTTTCTTTCAACCTTCAGTGCAGCCACTGTAAATAAATCAACACCGTTTTGTTAAAAATTTACCAACCAGCAGGGGCACCTGGGTGGTTTGGTTCATTAAGCGTCCAACTCTTGGTTTAGGCTCAGGTGATGATCTTGCGGTTTCGTGAGTTTGAACCCTGTGTTGGGCTCCGTGCTGGCAAGCATGGAGCCTGCTTGGAATTCTATGTCTCCTTTCTCTCTGCCCCTCCCCCACTCACTCTGTCTGGCTCTCTGGCTCTCTCTCTCTCAAAATAAATAAATAAACTTAAAACAAAATTTACCGACTGCCACACATTTTCCCATTAACAACTTGTTGGAATGTGTCGGGCCTCTTGCTTTGAGATTGGCGAGCAGTAGTGTTACCCAGTGGTATAGACAGCTCATGAGGAATCGGGCTCCCAGATTCCCGGTAGTTTGCTGGCCTGCTGGTTTGCCGCGGCGGGCGGTGTAACAGGATGGCAAGTAGTTAGGTTTCTGTACGCTGTGCCAGGGAGCACAGGTTTTCCTCAGTTGAAAATGAGGGCAGCAGATTTTGAGCATAAGCATAACCCCACGTATTTTGAGGACCTGCTGTATGTCCTTCCTGTTGGAATGTAAGGAGTGTGGCCATGCAGAGTGAGAAAAATCCATGCCCCGGGTCGTGATTTCTAAGGCTTATGAATCTTCTGTGTGTTTGCTGTTTGAGGTTCCGCATTTTGTGTGTTAGCACACACGCTTCTCTGGCTGCTAACAACCAGAACCTTCCAGAAGGGTTGTGGAATTAACTGGTGTTCTCTCAGTGTCCCCGTTAACCTAAATTAGTGGATTCACTCTGTCTTCTCCTCTTCCTTCCCAGGACTTTGAAGAAGGCTGTTACCTGCTCTGTAAAAGTGAGACAATACAAGTGACAACAAGGGACATCCTAGTTACCCCGAAAGGAAATCCTGTCTTAGAATTTTTAATAGCCCTCTTTAAACCTTTTGTGGAATCTTATCAGGTATGTAACTCTTAGGAAGTTCTGCTTCATCCTCCCGTATCCGGTATAACTAAGATCCCCCCAGCCTGTACTTCCTTCTGGCCCCAAGGGCAAGTGTCTCCCCCAGGTGAATGGTGGAACAGTAGGGAGATTGATCAATAGGGTGAAAGATTCACCTCTCAGGTGATTCACCGTCTCAGACCCCAGAGGGTAGCAGCTTTATGACGCCACATAACTACACTTACACCCAAGCACTGTCATGCTGTATCTTAACAGCTGTTTTCGTAGCACGTAGCAAGGTGTTTGATACATCATAGGCGCGCAGTAAATGCAAGATTTGAATGATACAGAAAGTCATTTCTATCAGAATTTCTATACAGAAATTATTTCTATCACTAAAGGCTGATGTTGGAAGGGAAAGGAAAGGTTGGGGTGCAAGTATCAGAAAGAGTGTGTCAGAGCTCTAGGAGTGCTTCGAGAGGGGGGAGGGTCTATATGCCCAGCAGGAACTGTGCCAGGATTCAAAGGGAGAAGGGGAGTTTGCAGTGGAAGCTCTCAAGGGACTGTACATATTTGCAAGAAGAGGGCTCTGTTTCTGAGCTCTGTGCACCGGTTAGAGGCGCCCGGGACTGACCTCCTTGCAGAGTGGCCCTGTGGCCTATGAAATAGTTCTTGTACAAAGTCTGGCACTTAGTAGATAAATGATAAATGCTTCTTCTATCTCAAAGCACCTTTCTGTGCTAGAAGCCATTAGCATTTGGGGCCTATTAGGTGTTTTTAGAGAAAAAACAGTTGCAAAACTTTTGGTCCTCTCTTCCTAAGTAGTGTAAGGTCTGTTAAGCTGATGGTGATTCACTTAATTTGCAACCCATCAAAGTGAGAAATTGTATTTTAATAAATGTCAATACTATTTCAAACTCTTTTTTCTAACTATAAGCAGTGATACGAGCTCAAGAGGGACCCAAGAATTCTGTGGCTTTTCTGTGCCCAAACCTTGGAGGGCATTTATTCTGCTCTTACATAAAGTATCTTTCTGTGATGAGGGGCACTATCACGTTATTGGCTGTCCTCTTGTATTTGGCTGCGTTTTTCTCTTTCTGTTAAAACCAGATAATTTGCAAATACCTCTTGCACGAAGAAGAAGACTACTTCACTGAGAAACAGTACTTGGATGGAGTTAGAAAATTCACCAGTGAGCTTCTTGATCAAGGTCAGTCACACCCCTGTGGGTGGTGATTTCCTGTGGTTGAAAACAAGAAGTGGTCCACTCACTTCTTTCTCTGTCCCAGGTGCCTCGCAGTGTTACGACGTATTGTCTTCCGATGTACAGAAAAATGCCTTAGCAGCTTTTGTGAGGCTAGGTGTGGTAGAGAAGAAGAAAGTGTAAGTACTGCCTGGGACCGCATGGGTGCTGAAGGGGCGGCGACGGCTAATGACAATTGAGCCCCGAATCCAGACAAAGTCGTAGAAATAGATGATCCGTAAACATTATACCGTACCTCCCTCACCCATCTGCTGATGGGTCACGTCAGTATGAGTTACTGTGCAAATTTTATGTGGATATGAACAAAAATGATACTAAAGCACAAAAAGTGTTTTAGGCCAGCAGTTTGGCTTTGACCTAATATTGAAATTTATAGATTAATTATAAGAAAGATTTTGGGGGAGCACAGTAGAGTGTGTGTGCATGTATACACTTGTATATGCCCACGTGCAACACCTAAATACATACGTGTATGTGCAGATCGTTAGATGTTTCCTCTTTTGAGTGAATGAAGGTAAGAGCGGTCAAGCTTACGGACGGCTGGCTGGCTCAGTCGGTGGAACGTTCAACTTTTGATCTCAGGGTCGTGGGTTCGAGCCCCACACTGGGTGTACAGATTACTACTAAAAAATAAAATAAACTTGAAAACAAAAGAAAAGTAGTCTTACTGTATAAATAATGAACATTGACTTCCCCCCACCCAAGTTTATGCGATAAGAGTTTTTTGCATTTTCTTCCCCTAGAAATAGTCACAGTGTATTTAATGTGAATGAACCTGCCACGACAAAATTAGAAGAAGTGCTTGGTAAGTACAGTTTAGTGACATATGTGGTTTCACTTTGTATTTATCACCATACGGTAAAACAACAAAGTATACTGTGGCACCAGAGACTTCATCAAAATGAACAACAGTAGAGTTTTAATATAAAGAGAACTATATTACCTAGGTTTTTCCAAAGGGAAGTGAGGACAAGGTGCAGAGAACACACAGCAAGCATAAAATGGGCAGTCTCCTCACAACATAACAACTATCAGCTTCTAGGGACGCCTGGCTGGCTCAGTAGGTGGAGCGTGCAATTCTTGATCTCAGAGTTTGAGTTTGAGCCCCACACTAGGTGTAGAGATTACTTGAAAACAAAACCTTAAGAAGAAATTATATGGGGCAGCTGAGTGGCTCGGTTAATTGTCCGACTCTTGATCTCAGCTCAGATCTTAATCTCAGGGCTCATGAGTTCAAGCCCCACATGGAGCCTACTTAAATTTTTTTTCATTAAATTAAAAAATTATCGGCCTCAGGGACACCTGGGTGACTCGGTGGAGCGTCCAACTTCAGCTCAGGTCATTATCTCCTGGTTCGTGAGTTCAAGCCCTGCATTGGGCTCGCTGCTGTGAACATAGAGCCCACTTTGGATCATCTGTCTCGCTGTCTATGTCCCTCCCCTGCTCATGCTCTCTCTCTCTAAAATAAATACACATTAAAAAAAAAATTATCAGCTTCTAGCATAATTAATCAGGGTCTGAGATCTGGACCCTTCACATCCAGTCTTATCGGACATGGAGAAAATACCTCTCATCTGAGTCCTTGGATTCATTTTCTCCCTGTCTACTCTTGGATCCCTTCTTTCCCCAGTAAAGGGTTGGGGTCAGTGTTCACAGCATATAGACTTTCTGAACTCAGAATTGGGGCCGATAGCACCTCCTTGGGAGAATAATCCAGCCTTACTCTTCTCCAGATGCCATTGGCTTATCAACAAATAATCCAGTCCAGAAAGGCAGGGTCATTTGTTTATGGTATGCAAAGAGAGTTGAGAGTATGGATATAAGCAAAGAGATTTAAAGGTCAGAGGAGATAACAAACATTTCTCATAGGAATGATGGGATAGTTTTAGAAGGGGAGAGTGTTAGCATCTGAAAAAAAAATACTTGTCTGGTGATTATATTGAATAAGCACTACATCGTTGAGTGGATATTCTCACAAGTAGCAGTTTTGTACCCCTACATGAAATTCAGTACATTTGTCAAACCTACATGAAAGAGCTTTAGGCAGATGTCTGCCAGGATGAAGGGAAAACCAGGACGGGGCGTGTGGCTGACGGAGAAGGGTTGAAGAGAAAGGGTAGACGAACAAAGGAATGGTTGACATAAATAGCGAAGGTGGGAATGCTAGTTTCTTGCTGAAGAAAATATGAATGATGAAATCCCAGTCTTCTGTCATATTATGTCTGCAACCTCAGAACATGCAACCTTTGAGTTTGGTAAGAGGTGCGTATAACCAAAACAAACCCTAAATAAAACCCTCATTCAGTGAGGATGACAGAATGGATTTCTTAATCATGGATGGCAAATGTAACGTGGGTGTGGATGTACTAGAACGTAGGAGGCTGGAAGTTCAGAAAGCAGACTGGGTTCTAATCCTGGCTCTGGGCCTGGCCAGTGGGGCGGGGGTGGGAGTAGAGCAGGGGAGGGGCTGCTGCTTCCCCTGCGGACAGGCAGGTGTCTCCGTCGGGGCTTTGTCAGCCTGTGAAACCACACAGGTGTCAGGCTTAAACAGCTGTATGGGGATGGGCAAACTCAAGGTCATTTCATTAGCTGGTTTTTTTTCCTTAGGTTGTAAGATACCCCTAGGAAAGCCGGCAACTGCAAAACTTTAATAATTGCCAAACAGTTATGCGAAATGTGGTCACATAATTGCTGTCATCTGAGGACTCTTATTCCAGCAAGCAGTGATGTGAAGGAAGAGTGTCATCTACTCGTGCTTCACGAGACGTGAGAGCCATGGGCTCGGCAGAGAGGAAGAGGTAGCCGGTGTAAGCAATCAGTGTAACTCTCTCCACCGTGACGGTTCAAAAGGCATCTGTGTCTGACTCTGTGTGTGTTTTAAAATAAAACAGTCTTTTGGAAACATGTTTGGAAAAACAAAGCCCAGCTCCTATTTCACTAACTTGTTACATGTATTATACATTTACACTGACTTGTTGAATTGCAGTGTGACAGCACGAAAGGCGGTGGCTGTCGGAAGTGGCACACCTATATTTCCTGTGGCTTCCTTCACCTCACGTGGCGTCAAACAAGTACCAGTTTGACGGAGGTGTGTGATAAATCAGCCAGCTTACATGAAAGCTTGCCGCCCGGGGGCCTTAAGCAATAAAGCTGCATTGGAGAAAGTATGTGCAACAAAGAGACGTTATGTGATTGATCATAAATAGGCTTAAGAATCCAGGAGAAGAAGAGTTCGAAATAAGATGGGTGACACCAAAAACTGTGACAGCCAGCCACCACTGGGAGTGGCATTTAAGCTAAGAATTAAGATGAGTGCCAGCCCTCCAAGTGTGGGATTGGGGGGACAGAGCGGGGACAGAGGAGCAGAGTGTGCTGAGAGAAGGGTGATCACAGTGTTCTGGGGTTAGTTCTGGAGAACCCGAAAGGCCAACGTGGCTGAAACCACAGTCGTGGGCAGCGGAATTAAAAAGAAAGGCAGGTGTATTAGTCTGCTTAGGCTGCCATAACGAAATACCAGATTGAGTGGTTTAAACAGCAGAAATTCGTTTTCTGACAGTTCTGGAGGCTGAATGTCCCAAGATCAAGTTGCCAACAAGGTAGGTTTCATTCCAAGGCCTCTCTTCCGGGCTTGTCGGAGGCCACCATGTTGCTATGAGCGCACACGGTGGTCCTGCCCTCGTTATTCTGTGTAGCCCCCATGACTTCCCAAAGGCTCCCTCTCCACAGTCACGTTTGGGAGAGTTTGGGCTTCAGCATCAGGACTCAGGGCTCACAATTCAGTCCACAGCAGCAGGGTTAACACATGGGGACTGAGGGACTCTCGTAAGACATTTGAACTGGAATGTAAGTGCCATGGAAAATGTTGGAAGGTTTCGGCATGTGGTGCCAGGACTTGCTGTATCCAGATTCCTGGAATGTGCATTTGTTTTGCAGAGGCCAGGCGGTTTCTGCTGCACGTGCAGATTGTGGAGAGCTGCTGTGCTGGTCCACACGTTGGTGGCAGAGGGGCCCTCTGTGTGGCTCTGCTTGTATGGAAAGCCAGAGATTTATGTGTGTTGACAACAAGAAGTCAATTAAACAGTGTTCCTGGCAAAGGATTTCATGGCATGCCAGCTAGACGGGGACACAAAGCTGACCATCCAGGGAGAGAGAGTGAGTTCAAAGCAGCTGGCAACCTGGGACCCTGGCCAATTCCTCCCGAGTAGATGTGCCTTCGAAAGAGTCCCCATACAGCCAATTTTGGTGGTTTGGTTTTCTCCATGACAGTCGTGCTATGCATGTAACTGTTGAAGACTGAGTAAGACGACTTGTTTACATTTAACACGTTTCAGGTCTGGGGGCAAAGCCTGGGGTTCTGGGCACAGGTGGCTACGGACTTGTCTCCTGGCCAGCTCTGACATCCGAGCCAGCAAGTAAGCAGATAAAGAGAGGGGCAGGAAGAGGGGCGGGGGTGGCCAAAACCAAATGAGGCTTTGCAGCAGAGGCTCTGCTCCCCTAAAACCCCCTGGGATCACCCAGGCAAACCTAAAGTTTTGGGGAATAGCGTGCTCCCTATGCTAACGTACTTTCAAAGCATGCTATCCTACCCCACGTGTGCTCCTTTACACACACGTGGTTTCAGAGCACACTGCTGTGCCTACGCCCTTCCACTCCATCCCATCTATAAATTCTGAAGCTGCCACTGCTTTGAAGTGGGTAGAAAGGCCCCTAGCATGTGGCTTTCCACGTCTGCTATCCCAACACAATGTTGCAGCTGAGAATGCAGGGTCTGGAACCCAACCGGGTTTGAAATCCAACGCTGCCATCTGCTAGCCCTGTGTTCTTGTAGGATTTACTTATACTCAAAGCTTCAGCTTCCTTATCCATCAACTAGGGATGATGATCCCTCTTGGGCTGTGAGAAACGGGAATGCTGGGGGGCTCAGTCAGTGGAGCATGGGACTCTTGATCTCGGGGTCATGAGTTCAAGCCCCATGTTGGGTGCAGAGCTTACTTCAAAAAGCAAAAAGAAATTTCTAAAATTTCTAAGGAACTTACCAAACTCAACCCCCAAAAAACAATCCAGTGAAGAAATGGACAAAAGACATGAATAGGCACTTTTCCAAAGAAGACATCCAGATGGCTAACAGACACATGAAAAAATGCTCAACATCACTCATCATCCGGGAAATACAAATCAAAACCACAATGAGATACCACCTCACACCCGTCAGAATGCTAACATTAACAACTCAGGCAACACAGATGTTGGCGAGGATGCAGAGAAAGAGGATCTCTTTTGCACTGCTGGTGGGAATGCAAACCGGTGCAGCCACTCTGGAAAACAGTATGGAAACAGTATTAAAAAACAGAACTACCCTGTGACCCAGCAATTGCAGGGCTAGGAATTTACCCAAAGGATACAGGAGTGCTGTTTCAAAGGGGCACATGCACCCCAATGTTTATAGCAGCGCTATCAACAATAGCCAAAGTATGGAAAGAGCCCAAATGTCCATTAACTGGTGAATAGATAAAGAAGATGTGGTGTATATATATACAATGGAGTATTACTCGGCAACCAAAAAGAATGAAATCTTGCCATTTGCAACTACATGGATGGAACTGGAGAGTATTATGCTAAGTGAAATAAGTCAGAGAAAGACAAATATCATATGACTTCACTCCTATGTGGAATTTAGATACAAAATGGATGAACATAAGGAAAGGGAGGCAAAAATAATATAAAAACAGGGAGGGAGACAAAACATAAGAGACTCTTAGATATAGAGAACAAACAGGGTTGCTGGAGGGGTTGTGGGTGGGGAAATGGGCTAAATGGGTAAGGGGCACTAAGGAAGACACTTGTTGGGATGAGCACTGGGTGTTATAAGTATGGGATGAATCACTGGAACTCCCTCCTGAAATCATTATTGCACTATATGCCAACTAACTTGGATGTAAATTTAAAATTTTAAAAAAAAAAGAAATAGAAATGCCGGTAGCATATTTGAAACAGTCTTTGGCAATAAGTGTAATCTTATTACACTTCTACTTATCTTTATCTTATCTATCTACTTATTATCTTCTACTACTACTGACAGGGACAAACCCTAGTTGGCTTCTCAAAGAAGATGAGATTGGATGCTTTCAGGTGGTTTCTGTGGCTGCAGATGCTTGTGCCTCAGCCCAGCTGCTCAGCCCAACAGCATCATGCTGTGCGCTGCCCCAGTACCTCATCCACAGACACCTGTCATGTTCCAAGTTCAGCTGAGCGGTGCTGGAAATGACAACTTTTCTCTACATCTCTTCTTCCATTAATAGAATGGGAACATTCAATGTAGGGTAGAAAGTAGATTTTGATGTCTTGTTTGGCTTTGTTCATTCCTTTTCTTTCTTTCTTTTCTTTCTTTCTTCTTTCTTTCTTTCTTTCTTTCTTTCTTTCTTTCTTTCTTTCTTAATTACCAACTGTGACAGAAGCACAAATCTCCCATCGACAAATTCAAACATCTAGGCAGCTGAGTGGCTCAGTCGGTTGAGCATCGATTTGATTTCAACTCAGGTCGTGATCTCACGGTCCGTAGGATCGAGCTCTGCTTCAGGCTCTGCACTGACAGCATGGAACCTGCTTGGGATTCTCTCTCTCTCTCCACATTTCCCCACCATGCACGCACATGTGCACTCTCTCATAATAATAAATAGACTTAAAAAAAAATAGATTCAAGCATCATTTTTTTCTAGAGCCGTCTCTGGACCTGCTGCACAGCTGTCAACCTGGGATTTCCCTTCACTGTTCTCTTGACAATTCCCTTCACTTTTCTGTGTTGGATTCCCCTCTTTGGGGTCCCATTTATTCCTTTTTGTTTATCAATTCTAGTGAAGCCTATCTTCCAGCTGTAGGAGGGATTAATGTTGTAGACATCACCTTGTCTTTTTTCCACCCACAGTTGTCTGACAATTTAGCTGGGTATAGAAATTCTAGTTTAGAAATAATTTTCCACGAAAATTTTGAAAAGCATATTTCTCCATTTTCTTCTAGTTTCTAAAGTTATTTTTCTCTGAAGTCAAAAGAACATTCTGATTCCTGAATACAAACTATTTGCCTTCTCAGGAAGTTTTTAGGATCTGTTTTTTATACTTTCTGAAATTTCGGGTGATGAGCTTTGTTGCGTTTTATGTTTTGTTTTGTTTTGTTTTTGTGGCTTAGACAAATTTATGATCTTACAGTTGACAAGGTCAGAAATCTGAAAGGAATCTTGCTAGGATAAAATCAAGGTGTCCCCTTGATCCAGAGGCTCTAGTAGGAGAATCAGTATCCTTGCCTCTCCCAGCTCCTAGAGGCTCCCTTCATTCCTTGGCTTGGGGCTTCTTCAAATCCAGCAATGTCAGGTGGAGGCCTCATTCTACATCCTCTTGTTTTTTCTCTTCCATATTCCTCTTCCACTTTTTTTTTAAATTGAGATATAACTGACATTACAGTATATTAGTTTCAGGTGTACAAGGTAATGATTTGATATCTGTATATATTACAAAATGATCACAATTAAGTTCAGCTAATATCTGTCACCCTACATAGTTCTAAAAGCTTTTTTTCTTGTGATGAGAACTTTCAAGATCAAATCTATCTACTTTCAAATATGCAATACAGTATTAACTAAAGTCACTATGCTGTGCATTACATCTTCCTGACTTGCTCATTTCATAATTGGAAATTTATACCTATAGACTGCTTTCACCTATTTCACGCATCTCCAAACCCCTTTCAGAGAACCATCAATCTCTTCTCTGTATCCATGAACTAACTGATTTTTGTTGTTGTTGTTTTTGGGAGAGGTGGTTTCTTCAATTCTACCTATAAGTGAAATCATACGGTATTTGTATTTTTCTGTCTGCCTTATTTTATTTGGCATAATGCCCTCAACTTCTATCCATGTGGTTGCAAATGGCAAAGTTTTCTTCTTTTTCATGGCTGAATAATATTTCATGTGCATGAACCAAACCTTTTTATCCATTCATTCATGAATGGACACTTCGGTTGCTTCCATGTCTTGGCTGTTGTAAACAATGCTGCAGTGAAATGGGGGTGCAGGTATCTTTTCATTTCTTTTGGGTAAATTCCCATAAGTGGAATTACTGGATAATATAGTAATTCTATTTTTAATATTTTGAGGAACCTCCATAGTGTTTTCCACAGCGGCTGCACCAATTTACATCCCTACCAACGGTGCACGAAGATTCCCTTTTCTCCACATCCTCACCAAAACTTAGTTCTTGTCTTTTTGAAGACACCTAACCTTCTTAGCCATTCTAACAGGTGTGAGGTGATATCTCAGTGTGATTTTAATTTGCGTCTCCCTGAGGATGAGTGAGACTGAGCACCTTTTCGTGTACTTGTTGGCCATCTGGACGTCCTCTTTGGAAAAATATCTGTTCAGAGCCTCTGCCCATTTTTTAATTGGATTGTTTTTTGGCTACGGAGTTGTATGAGTTCTTTACATATTTTGGATACTAACTCCTTATCAGATGTGTGATTTGCAAATCTTTTCTCCTGTTCAGTAGGTTGCCTTTTCATTTTGTTGATTTGTTGTCAATGTTTTTAAATTCTTTATCCTGGTCCCTCAGTGGACCTTTTTAATAGATGCGTGTTCTTCAGTGCTAGGGAATGTCCTTGTATTATTTCTTTTATAGCTGTCTTCCTTCTGTTTCCTCTACTCTTTACAGCTAAAAGTCATATTATTTTAGTTTAGGACCCCCTGGCTTCTAATTTGCTACCCCCCTGTCTTTGTTTGAGGGACACACTACCCTCTTAATGAGATTTCCCCAGATGCCTAGCGACCTCTGCCTATCCATCCGCATTTAGGAGTGAGACGGGACTGAGCTGATCGGCAGCCCTCCTTTCTCCAGAGAGGAATCGTTTGGTCTCCTAGCATCCGGGAGCCTGGGGGTCTCCTCCGGCGTATAGGCTTTCACAACACCCGGCCCGGTGTGCTCGGTGAATCTAAGACTAGGGTCACGTTGGTTTAACCTCTTCAGAAAGTAAGTCTCTCACCCGGAGGATGAGGAACCGCTGCTGGGAGGGACGAGGTGGGCGGGCTTTCTAGGACTCTAACTGCTTCTCTCACAGGTTCCCAGACTCCTCCTCACGATCCTGCCTCTCCTGAGCCTCGCTAGGGTTCCGGGGCTGGGTTCCCTGGCGCACACTGGTTGGCTTCTCTCCTGCAGGTTAAGGTTTGGATCTCCTAAGTCAGGTAACTTTCAGCGCACGCCTGCGACGGTTTTGCCAGATTTCTCTCAATCGCCTACTTTGAAAAAAAAAAAAAGAAAAAAGCTTAGGGGTGCCTGGGTGGCTCAGTCAGTTAAGCCTCCGACTGCAGCTCAGGTCATGATCTCATAGTTTGTGAGTTCGAGCCCCGCATCAGGCTGTGTGCTGACAGCTCGGAGCCTGGAGCCTGTTTCGGATTCTGTGTCTCCCTCGCTCTCTGCCCCTTCCCCGTTCACACGCTGTCTCTCTCTCCTTCAAAAATAAATCATTTTTTTTAAAGTGTAAAAATCGCTTATTAAAACGGAAGGTAATGTTATGCTCAAAAAATCGAAGGTGACTTTCACCCAGCGCACTCCTTGTCTTGTGCAACAGCGTCTGAACTGAGGAGCTTAATTTGGGGGAAGCAGGTGGGGAGCCCGGGGACCTTGGGCTCATGTCAGGCCTTGACGGGCTGGCTGTGTCCCCTGCAAAGGGAAGACTTGCGACTTACTTGTTCTATTTGAGTAACACTTACCGGGCACTTACTGTGTGCCAGGCACTTCTAGAAGTGCCTTCCAAACATTAGCTCTTTTTTTTTTTTTTTTTTTTTTTGAGAGAGAGAGAGAGAGAGAGAGAGAGAGTGCAAGCAGGGGAAGGATCAGAAGGAGAGAGAGAGAGACAGAGAGAGAATCCCAAGTAGGCTCCACCCTCTCATTGCAGAGCCCCGCATGGGACTCGATCCCACAACCCTGGGGAAACGACCTGAACCAAAACCAAGAGTCGGATTCTCCACCGACCGAGCCACCAGGTGCCCCCCAAGAAATAACTCTTTGAGTGCTCAGGACGAGTGTGCAGAGGGTCGTGTGAGGATTACCCCCTTTTCATCAACAAGGGAAGTGGGCCCCATGGAAGGTCAGCGACACGAGGGAGTAAATCATCTTCTGGTTCCATTCACATGAATTTTGTGAAAGAATCATGGACTAACAAGACTATAAAGTCCAATTCTTGTTTCCATGAAAAACAAGACAAAACAAAAATCTCGGGCCAGGGGGTTAATGGCCAGAGCAGCCGGAACCCAGGCAAAGGCCCAGAGCTGGGGCAGTGACACCGCTGGACCATGGGGGATGGCGTGACTCCAGAAGCCCTAGGACCCTGCTGGGGATGGAACAGCCCTGGACTGGGAGCCTCAGGTTCTCAGGTGAGGTGGCTAGGGCTTCCGGCTGCCCATGGCTTTCCCGTCAGTGCCCGACCCACCTCCCACCCCACTAGGCCCCCTCTCTGTCCCCCCTCCCTCCCTCTCTCCCTCCCCTCTGTCCCTCCTTCCCTCTCTCTATCCCTCTCTGTCCCCCCCCACCTCCCTCTTTTTCCCTCTCTCTGTCCCTCTCTCCCCTCTCCCTCTCTATCCCTCTCTGTCCCCCCCTCTACCTCCTTCTCTTTCCCTCTCTCTGTCCCTCTCTCCCCCCCCATCCCTCTCTGTCCCTCTCACCCCTCATCCATGCCCTAGATCAGCACTGTCCAGTAGAATATTCTGTAATGATGGAGATGTTTTATAACTGCATAGTCCGATAGGGTATACACTAGCCATCTGTGACTACTTAGCTCTAGTAATGTGGTTAGTATATCCAAGGAACTGACTTTATTGTTATTATTATTATTAATAGTATATATATATATTTATATTTTTTAATGTTTATTTTTGAGAGAGACACACAGTGAGAGTGGGGGAGAGGCAGAGAGAGAGGGAGACACAGAATCCGAAGGAGGCTCCAGGCTCTGAGCTGTCAGCACAGAGCCCAACAGGGGGCTCGAACTCACGAACCGTGAGATCATGACCTGAGCTGAAGTCGGAGGCTTAACTGACTGAGCCACCCAGACGCCCCTAGATAATTTGTATATATTTTTTAAGTTTATCTATTCTGAGAGAGACAGGGAGAGAATGAGAGGCTGAGGGGCAGAGAGAGAGAGGGAGAGAGACAGGATCCCAAGCAGGCTCCCTGTCGTCAGCGTAGAACCCAACGTGGGCTCAAACTCACAAAACTGTGAGATCGTGACCTGAGCCAAAATCAAGAGTCGGACGCTCAACCAACTGAGCCACCCAGGCGTCCTTTGATAATTTATATTTAAACAGCCACATGTGGCTAAGTGACTACATATTGGACAGTCCAACCTTAGATGTTTCATCTCTTAGAGAAAGACTAGAATCACCCACCTTACTAACCACATTACTACTAACCACATTACTAGACTAACATCCTCCCCAGCGTACCTGACTGAGACCTTCGAGCTCCAAGCAACAGGGTCTAAGTGTTACTACTCTCAAGTATGTTTGAAAACATGATTTTCTTTTCCAGAAAAAGAACCTGAGGTAAGGGCAAGAACAAGCACAGTGCTCCACGCAAGAAAGGTAACGCCATCACCACGTGGGAAAACACAAACGTTTTACATCTTTACTGGGGAGTTGTTACATCCGCAGAACCATTTTTCCAAATTTTCGAGCCAAGATTTATGCATTCCAGTGCGTTCAAAGCTTATCTCCAGCAAAACTGTAAGTAATAATAATAATTAACAACAACCAGTGGAGATGGGGTGGGGTGGGGGGAGCTGTTGGGTACAGGTGAAACAACACTGGCCAAATGTTGACGATTTTTGAAGCTTGGTAATGAGGACACAGGGATTCTTTATACTGCTCTGTTACTGTGTGTTGAAAAATTCAAAATAAAAAGTCTTTAAAAATAAGTATCCTGGGGCGCCTGGGTGGCGCAGTCGGTTAAGCGTCTGACTTCAGCCAGGTCACGATCTCGCGGTCCGTGAGTTCGAGCCCCACGTCGGGCTCTGGGCTGATGGCTCAGAGCCTGGAGCCTGTTTCTGATTCTGTGTCTCCCTCTCTCTCTGCCCCTCCCCCGTTCATGCTCTGTCTCTCTCTGTCCCAAAAAAATAAAAAAAAATAAACGTTAAAAAAAAAAATTAAAAAAAAAAATATCCTTAGCAGGGGCTCAGTCAGTTGAGCATCCGACTTCGGCTCAGGTCATGATCTCACAGTTTGTGGGTTCAAGCCCCACGTCGGGATCTGTGCTGACAGCTCGGAGCCTGGAGCCTGCTTCAGATTCCGTGTCTCCTTCTCCCTCTGCCCGTCCCCCGCTTGTGCTTTGTCTCTCTCTCTCTCTCTCTCTCTAAATATAAATAAACATTAAAAAAATAATAAGTATCCTTAGACCTCACACATAATGTATAGAACAAAAGTGCTGGAAAGATGTAGCACAGAACAGAGAGTGGATCTAATTTTTAACATCACGTACTTAATTTTCTTTTTCTTATTTAATGGTTTGAAAAGGTGATACACTCAAGTACTAAAACAAAACGAAACAAAACCAATCTACAGTGCATCTCTATCCCTGTCTCCCAGTTCTAGCTGCCCAGACCCCTTCAGAATTTCTCTGCAAATATACACCTGTATTTTCTCTTTTTTTACTCCTAAAGCAGCACACTGTAGGATTATTCTGTATGTTGTCTTATACTTAACAACATATTTTTATTTAATTAAGTAATTAATTTATTATTATTTATTTTAGAGAGAGAGAGAGAGCATAAGTGGGGGAGGCAGAGAAAGAGAGACAGAATCCCAAGTAGGTTCCATACTCAGTGCAAAGCCTGATGCGGGCCTCGATTCCACGACCCTGCGATCATGACCTGAGCCGAAACCAAGAGTAGGACGCTCAACTGACTGAGCCACCCAGGCACCCCTGTTTTAAGAAATCTTTTTAAAGTAATCTCTATACCCAACATGGGGCTTGAACTCATGACCCCAAGATGAAGAGTCATACGCTCTGCCCACTGAGCCAGCCAGCCACCCCTCTTAACAACTTACTTAAGACATGTTTCCACCTCGGTACCTGGAGAGGGCATTCCTTTTTAAGCTGCATGGTATTACACTGTGCATGCGCACTGAAGTTTGATATGGTTCTGGGTAGTTTCCATTCCTTTGCTGGTACAAACACTGCTTCAGCGAAACCCGTTCAAATATTCTGTGTTTCTTCCTTCTTTTCCTTCTGGTATTCTCATTATGATATGTTACACTTTGTTTTTAATGTTTATTTGTTTTGAAAGAGAGAGAAAGCAAGAGTAGGGGAGGGGAGAGAGAGAATCCCAGGCAGGCTCCGTGCTGTCAGCTCGATCCCAGGACCCATGAGCCAAAATCAAGAGTCAGATGCTTAATCGACTGAGCCACCCAGGGGCCCCTGTTACACTTTTTACAGTTGTTCCTCAGTCCTTGGATATTCTGTTCTGTGTTTGTTTAGTTGGTTTTCAGTCTCTGTTTTCCTTGCTTTTCGGTTTTCAAGGATTCTGTTGATACATCCTGCAGCTTTCCTCAACCAGGTCCAGTCTACTGAGAGGCCCATCGAAGGCACTCTTCATTTCCACTGCGATGTGGGCTTTTGTGAGTTGCTTTTATCTCTAGCATTTTTTTGGGGGGGGTTCTTTCTTAAGATTTCCATCTCTGCATTACTGCTGCCCATCTGTTCTTGCGGGCTGTTTTCTTTATCCGTTAGAGGCCTTAGCATTTTAATCATGGTTGTTTTCAATTCCCAGTCTGTTTTCAATTCAACGGACCCTGTCCTGTCTGGTTCTGATGCTTCTCTGTCTCTTCAAATTCTGTTTTTGCCTTTTGGGACGCCTTGTCATTTTTTTCTTGGTGGCTGGACATGGGGTTCCCGGGGAAGAAAGGAACTGCTGTAAATAGGCCTTTAGTGATATGGTGAGTGGGGGGGAGCAGGGCTGTACTCTCCAATGATGAGGTCTGTCTTTAGTGAATTTCAGGAGTGTTTCTCAGCTGTTTTCGCCCCCCTCGGGTGGGACAGGTTGGCTAGAGTGGGCTGGGGTTGGGTATTCCCTTCCCCAGTCAGCTAGGCTCTGCTAATGCCCCAGTAGGTTAGGCTCTGGTTAACTAGTCTCCCCTGAGGGCGGGCCTTAAGAAAAACAGAGTGCTCAACCCTATTTCAGGAAGTACCTTGCCCCGCCCCCTGCTGGAAGCCTCTGGATATTTTCCTCTGATACTAGGAGAACCTAGAAGGAGGTATATTTCACAATATGGTGGGTGATGAAATTTGAAGTGGGGTTCGTGAGCTAAGAAAGAATTCTCGAGACTACTTTAGTGCAAAAAGGTGATTTTATTAAAGCACGGGGACAGGACCGTAGGCAGAAAGAGTTGCACTGGGGTTGTGAGGAATGACTGATTATATACTTTTAAGTTTGTGGAGGGAGGGGAGGGACGTATAGATAACAGAGGTCTCCAAGGAGTTTTTGGATGCTGAAAGCAGGGTCTCCCAGGACCCTGAAGATTTAGCTATTGTCAAGGTAAGGTTGCTTTTAGTTTTTAAGGAAGTGTCAACATTAAGCATTAAGGCAGCCATGAACGTCTTGGGGAGTATTACACTGACATCTGTCAATGGGCTGCAGGCTGTAAGGGCATTTAATTTAAATGACATTTTTCATGCCTTTGTTTCCCTCATCAGTGGGGGTCCCCCTGGAGTTAACTCTCAGAGTTTTGGGCACTGAGCCTCCAGTGAGCGTTCAGATTTCTCTGCCCCAGCACTGGTTTCTACCCTAAACTTCTTTCTGCTCTAGTAAGATAAGACATCCTATATCTGCCAACTGGTCTCTTCAGTCTGGGGGCAGACCCCACCTGTGCCCCACCCCCACCCCCACTTGTGGATCCAAGAAGACTGGCTGCTTTTTCAGTCTCTTCAGCTTTTACTTATCAGGACAGAGGGAGACTTCTGGGCTTATATGCAAAACCGGAAACTAGAAGTGTTCTTACAAACTTATTTACAGGGGCCTGGGTGGCTCAGTTGGTTTAGCCTCTGACTCGTGGTTTTGGCTCAGGTCATGATCTCACAGTTCGTGGCATTGAGCCCTGACTTGGGCTCTGTGCCAACTGTGTGGAGCCTGCTTGAGATTCTCTCTCTCTCCTTCTCTCTCTGCCCCTCCCCTGCTGGCTCCCTCTCAAAATAAATAAACTTTAAAAAATCTGATTCGTAAATCACATAAGTTTACGGAGTAAATTTAATTTAGGAAGTATGCTAATATTTTTGTAGAATAAATCTCCAGAAATGGATCGTAGGGTCAAATGGTTTGTATAGTTCTGTATTTTTTTAAATGTTTTATTTATTTTTGAGGCGGGGGGTGGGTCAGAGAGAGGGGGACAGAGGATCTGAAGCAGGCTCTGTGCTGACAGCAGAGAGCCTGACATGGGGCTCGAACTCATGAACCACGAGATCATGACCTGAGCTGAAGTTGGATGCTCATCTGACTGAGCCACCCAGGTGCCCCATAGCTCTGTAATTATTTCCAATCTGTAAATATCGCCAAAGTGCCAGTGACCCAGTTTACTGTAATTCCCCCTAGCAATGGCTGAGGCTACACGCACAAACATTTTAGATCCACTTCGTGGATCCTGTAACTTTGAGGGACATGTTTAGCTAGAGAGGGTAAGTCAACATATTAGGTAAAAGGAATCAAATGTGACATTTAAGACATAAGCTCTTGTCCTGCAACTTTCCTACTTAAATTACACCTACTCACCTGTTTAGAAGGTTCATCTAAACAGCTAAGTGATATGTATCTTCATGCCCAGTGAAATTTCTTCAAGTTTGAGACTGTTTAATTTTGCCAATCACAAAGAATTCAGTAACGTACACGTCAGTGTTAATGGGGCGCCTGGCTGGCTCAGTTGGTGGAGCATGTGACTCGATCTTGGGGTCATGAGTTTGAGTCCCACATTGGGCATAGAGATTACTTAATAAACAAAGAAATAAAATACCTTTAAAAAAACCCAAATTGGTGCTAATGCAAATAATCTGGTTTTATCTATCTCATTAACTCAAATCTGCCACTTTAAGGAAATTATAAATTATGATATCCTCTGTCAAAACACCATTAACTTTAACAGAATACTTACAACTGTAAATGGATAGAGCTTTGAAATAAAGACTGATCTATACTAGTGAGATGTCAACCATCAGACATAATCCAATAATCTAGCCTACTGGCTCAGAAGCCAGCCCTAGAAGAAAGTCTGTCTGAGTTCAAAACCCATCTAGGTTACTTATGGGAACTCTTTACAGGCTGAATTACTTGCAAATTACTTAACTTCACAAAACCTTAATGCCTTCAGAGACTGATGTGAAGATTAGATAAAATAATCTGTTAAAGGTGCTGTAATCATCGATAAATGGTTCTCCAAAGGAAGGTTTGCATGCTGTTTATCATACTTGAATTTTTTACATGTCAAATATTTTGATTCTCTTTTTTAAAATGTTTGTTTATTTATTTTGATATATATAGAGAGACAGAGAGAGAGCACGTGTGAGCGGGGGAGAATCCCAAGCAGGCTCTGTGCTGTCAGTGCAGAGCCTGACGTGGGACTTGATCTCATGAACTGTGAGATCATGACTTGAGCCAAAATCAAGGATCAGACGCTTAACTACTAACTGAGCCACCCCGGTGCCCTAAATATTCTGATTCTTATTGATGGAGCCACATGTCAAGAAAATTTCATCTTCAGAAAATGTACAAAGAAACACCAATTTGAAAGAATTCTGTGTATTAGTAGTGGTAGGGTTAAAGGTGGAGTGTAGAGAATGTTGCTTTGGCATTGAACAGACCTGGCCTTGAGCACTGCCTCTCATGTTCAGTGGGGAGATGCTTTGGCCAAACAGCAACCTCTCTGTCTCTTTCCTTAGCTGGACAAGGACTAGAACAATTGCTATCTTCCAGAGTTACTGTGAGGGTCAAATGAGATAACGCCTGGAAAGGGCCCGGTGCAAACTAGGACCTTCATAACCGAGAACTGTCATTAGTTATTCGAATCATCCAGTCAATAATATTCATTAATCAGCATTTATCAAGTGTCTATGTTATGCCCAACACGGCTCTAGGGAAGCCAATGAGAAAAAATGAAATGCAAATATTCTGTATGTGTGGTGTGAGATTAAAACATACATGTGTTTCTCAACATAATGGGAATATATTTAACATACATATATCTTGCATGTCCCGTACAACTCTGTTAAAGAGTAAAATGGAATGGAGAGGAGGGTCAATGGAATGCCTCCTTATCTCTTTTTGTAAGAGCTCTAACTGTCCTATAAGCTTAGAGTGGCTAATTCTGATTTGAGGGGCTACAAGCCAGCTGTGTCACACTGTCTGATTTTTCATTCTGTTTGGGGACTGAAAGAAATGAGAATGTGTCTTATCATTTCATTATCATTATTATCAGGCCCCCGCGCACCTCATGAATGACATAAGCATGACAAAGCACACACACACCATCATAGACCGATATTGCTAATGGATACCGATACAAAAATGTGAATGAAGTCTTCATTAGAATCAGGCAGTATATTAAAACAATTATATATTGCAACCAAATAGAATTAATTCACAGGGTGTAAGTGTGGTTCAGTGTTAGGAAATCGATTTTAAAAACTTATCCAATTAATATGACGTAGAAGAAAAATCACGATGAGCTCAGCGGACGCTAAGATTCATTTGGTATTTCAGAATCCATTCCGGACCTAAAAAAAAATTAAAACAACTGTTAACTGTTAACACGAATAGGGAATCACTTCCTTAACATAATGACCAAAAGCCAATGTCAGGCTTCAATGGACAAATAGGAAAAACGCTCCTACCAGATACACATCCAGTATAATTCCTAATTCTTAGGTAGGAATATCAAGCAAAAAGAGAGTGATGTAACATAGTTCTGGATGTTCAACTTAATACAGATACTAAGAAAACTACGTAAGATGTGTAAAAATTGAAACGAGGCAAAATGATCTTTATTTGCAGGTGATGTGATTATATACTTGAAAACTCCAAAGAAACAACTGGGAAACTATTAAAACTCATAACCTAATTAAGGCACTGGTTGCAATATCTGTAATTAAAAATATATTATTTTTTTTAATGTTTATTTTTAACATTTTTAACATTTATTTATTTTTGAGAGGGAGACAGAGCGATCAGGGGAGAACAGAGAGGGAGGAGGACAGAGGATCTGAAGCAGGCTCATTGCTGTCTGCACGGAGCCTGATGTGGGCTGGAACCCACGAGCCACAAGATCATGACCTGAGCCGAAATCAGGTGCCCAACAGACTGAGCCACCCAGGCACCCCAAAATGTAATGTATTATTAAAATGGCACTTCTAGTCAGTGAGGAAAAAGGACAATTCAAAACTGTGAAAACAACGTGTTTATTGTGGGAACATGGGATTCTTACATCATTCTTTAAAATGAACTATAAATGGGAAAAAAATCAAATATTAAAATGAACAAAAACATGACATTTTTAGAATCTGGGTAGGGTAAGAGTCTGAGTGATAAGGGCTTTCTAAGCCTGATGGAAAACAGAGAAGAAAAAAACCCCAGGTATACCTGGGTTCAATTAAAATTTACTATACTACAAAGGTGCCTGGGCAGCTCAGTTGGTTGAGCATCTGGCTTTGGCTCGGGTCGCGATCTCATGGTTGGAGGGTTCGAGTCCCACATCAGGCTTTGCGCTGACAGCACAGAGCCTGCTTTGGTTTCTCTCTCTCTGCCCCTCTCCACCTGTGCTCCTTCTCAAAAATAAATAAACATTAAAAAAATTTTTTTAATTTACTATTCTACGTAAGTAGATAAATAAATGACAGTAGGAAAAACCGACAGCATTTCGTACTCATGAAATTCCCAAGTATTCAATAGAATCCGGCAAAATGGTAACACAAAGATAATCTAAGAATGGCAAAGAACATAAACGGGTAGATTACAAAAATACGAAATTGCTCACCTCACTCATAAAAATTACAAACGAAACTAGGTACTAGTTTTTCACAGATAGGATTAGTAAAAATAAATTTTATTACTAATAAGAATAATCTGATTATTTAAAACTGGATGAATAAATGTGGACAGGTACTGTACATAGTTGGGACGAGGTAAAATGGTTCAACTTGCCTAATGAGCAATTTGGCAATGTTTGCCTAAATTTAAGGTAGAGTTTGGTAGAGCAATTTCTAGAAATGCATCCTATAGACATATTCACGCATGTAAGCAAAGATATACGTACAGGGAACTTTTTTCAGGAGTTTTTGTAACATAAAAACCTGAAGCCAACAAAGTATTGTAATTGGAAAATGCAAAATCATGATAAATCCATCCAATGTGACTGAATACTGTTTAAATCACGGGAAAAAAAAAACCCAAAACCCAGTCGGTGTAGCTACAGGTATTCACGTAAGAGTCTTAAAAATACTGAATTGGTGAGTAAAAGCAAGATACGGAACAGTAATGTATAGTACGATCTAATTTCTTTTTTCTTTCTTTTTTTTTTTTTTTTTTTTTTTTTTTTTAGTATTTATTTCTAGGAGCCCTATGTGGGGCTCGAACTCAATGAACTGTGAGATCATGACCTGAGCCAAAGTCGGATGCTCAATGGACTGAGCCATCCAGGTGTCCCCAGTCCAATTTCTGAGGGAAAAAAATGTACGAGAAACTCTTCTAAGAGTGGCCACCTCTGGTGAGTGGGTCACTGGGTCACCGGGCTTGGGTGCAATGACCCTTTTTACCTCACACCTTTCTGCGTGGGCTCAAGCTTTCTTAATAAGCACGAATTAATGACCCCACCTTTCTTGCCTCCAATATTTGAAACATCTTCCGTGTGTCCCTGCAGCCCATCCTAGCCTGTGCCTCAGGTACTCCCGTTTGTGTCCCTGCTCACCTTTGCTCTTCCTTTTCCTTTGTGCATTTAAATCTTGTCCATCCTTCAAGGGCCAGCTCAAAGGCCAACAAATCCATGAGGACTCTCCAAACTTCTCAAAATAATGCTGCCCTCTTCCTTCTCAGTATTC